CTCACACCCACCCGCCCACTCTCCCCTGCCTCACACCCACCCGCCCACTCTCCCCTCCCTCACACCCACCCGCCCACTCTCCCCTCCCTCACACCCACCCGCCCACTCTCCCCTGCCTCACACCCACCCGCCCACTCTCCCCTGCCTTACAAGTCTAGATATCTAAACAGTAGAAAAATTGCAAATCAAATTGTGAAAAGGATTTGAGAAACATGACTAGTAGAATTCTTAAGCCAACAAGACTATGGGTATGGGGTGCATAATAAAGAAATGAAATGAAATTTCACTAGGCTAGTGCCGATTGTTGTATGTTGTACGGACGTTTAAACTGTTTTATCGGGTACCTGCATCCCTAGGGTACCTTGACTTCGGGTACCTTGTCCCCGAGGGTACTTGGCTCTTTAGAGTACTTGAATCCGTCGGCCACCTGATGGGTACTGTGTACCCAGCCTTGGGTACCTGGGTATCAAGTTCAAGTATGTTTATTGAGATAAGCAAGAAATACATCTCAAAGGGAAAGAGTAGCTTAGGCTATTTCTACCTCCTTTGTCTCTAAGGTACCTTATGGAGATGAGAACGCTTTCCCGCTCGGGGAATGTTCCGCGCGTGTGTGTGATCTGAAGCAACAATGCCAAGTTTCACTGGGGTCATACGCATGTTTGCTTCAGTTCCTGGCGCTATAAACGCCTCGGCAACCTGTCCGGTCTTCCAAGCAGCGGCCGACCCCAAAAACGCAGTCCTCAAGTTTTACTGTGTATTCAAGATCGGTATTTTTGGTGTATAGTTTTAGGGCATAGATTAGGTTAGATGTTTGGGTACTGTTAGAAGTTATTTATATTTGTAGCATGTTTATTGATGAAGTATTTTGCAGAGGTGGAATTTTCTCGCGAGTGCGAGAAAAGTTCGATCTTCATCAGTTGTAAGTCGTGTGTAAAGTGCTTTTCATTCATAACAAGGTTTGACGGGTCGACTAACAAGAATTTGGACTTTGTTTATGAATGTGAGCTTCTCAGAGACGTCGTGCTGGAAAGTGTAGTGTTGCTGTACTGCAGCTGAGGAGTGGGGGGGGGGGCTATTGAAAGGGTTGTTGGTAGTGTTGGGAGTGAGGGGGGGGGGGGGGGGTTGATAGGGGTGAGCTCTGGGGGTAGGAACGAGGAGGGGGTCAGTGTGTGCGACCTCCAGTGTGGAACACAGTCGCCATTCCGCAATATTTGACAACTGCCGCTCAAACCTTCTATATGACGCAAGTATAGCAAGGTGAATGCTATGCAACCCTACTGCAATGGTGAGCCATTGCAATAGGGTTGGGGTGCCTGAAACCCCCTGGCGCCAGGTGTCCTGCAAGCACATGTGAGGGAAGAATAGTAGTAAAGCCGTAGCAACTGATGGGGGCTGAAGAAGCAAGGCGGGGGTGGGGGATATTGGTGGGTGGGGGTGGAGACCCGCCAGCAGGCATCTGGGTGCTGGCTGGCCCACCTCTTTGTTCCTCCCATCAGCGCCTATATTATCCACATTCTGTAATTAAAAAACAACTACTTTGCAATAAAAATATGTATTAATTTCGAGGGGTTGACATGTAGTTTTATGAATCTTAAAATGTGTACCAAAGTTAATATACAAGAGACGATCCAGCTGCATTTAATCGTTAATTACGTGTTCTTTGCATTGTTTGTTTATTTGGAGAAACTTTTTGCTACAATGTCGTAGTGCTTGAATGAAGGTTTGGGAAAGACCAAAACATGCGTAGGTGTATCAAAACCAAATTTTAGGATACAACTACATCTATTCTCAAGGTGCTGTAAACAATGTAGTTGCAATTGCGTGTAGTTGCACCTGAAAATTAGGTTTTAATACACTTACACATGTATTGGGTCTTTCCTTCACCTTCCTTTATGTCCATTCACAGATACACGCCACTGAGCAGCTATCATAGTGTATGTACATAATGGGGCCACAGAGTGTAGGTCAAGAGCTAGTGCCTGGGTTCAACTAGATATCCCCCATTACGTACGATAGTTTAATTTCTCGAGTACGAGAGATGCGACTCGTGAGTATATCTTAGCCTGTACTAGCTAAGTTTAGGTAGGCTATATGAGGATGTCTTGTGATATCCTCGAGTGTGTGTGTGTGTGTGTGTGGGGAGGGGGGTGTTGACGGGCACTTAGTCCACTGGACGTGTTATGCTACAGCGAATATTAAGTAGGCTATGGAAAGGCGGTAGTATAACGTTGACTTCCTTAAATTCTTAATATAATACTGCGTAATAATGTTAATTTACAAGTATGCTTTTAAATATTCGAATAGTATTATTTTGCATCCGGTAGATATCGCATAAAATATACTTCCAAAATATTTTTGGTAAGTAAATAAAATAGAACAATCATATAGGTTTAGAGCGCCATTTCAAGACGTGTTGAGTAGATGTGGCACCACTGGAAGGAGCCTTGTGAGGGAGGGGGAGGGGGGTAGGGGGACTTTCACTGTTGTGCTGAGGAGACAAATAAACGTTTAGCTAACTGTCCTGTTGAGTTTATAGCATTTGTCCCAGTACTGTTGTCAGCAGAGGTCGGGTGAGGGCGGCGTGTGACCGTATTAACACCAACTGGTCTATACTATTAGTCAGCTGGACTTGTGTTTGTACATGCTTCCCTAATAGAGTTTACATAATAGTAACGATACAGTGGAGTGCGTAAGAGCCTATAGTTCTCTTATGGCCGGCCTATACCAGCCTTTTTTTGTACCTAGTATTTCTTTTTTCCAGACAAACGGTCGAGGTTTTTGTGGTATTTCCCTTAACGTTGTGGATGAAGTTGGCTTCCTAATTGAACGCCCCTTCCCAAATGAACGCTTTCAGTGCATTCCACAAGGCACGGGTATTTCCTTAGGTTACTTCCTACTGATCTGCGTTTACAGCTTTCACTTGTATCATTTCGTCTCGTTTCCTCTTAAACAGGCTCTGCTTGTCCACGCTCTCTCTTCCTCTCAGTATTTTATATGTAGTGATCGTGTCCCCTCCATGCCCTCTAAATCCAGGCAATAAACCCTCTGCATTTTTTTTTTAGTTTCAAGGTCAGCTTTATGCTTCACAAATTCATGTCGGTGTTGTTTCTAGAGTTTACCTTTGTGTCGCCCTCTGATTGCACAAGTGGCATTATGCAACATCTACGGCAATTCTAATAAAATAGCATAAAAGTAGGTTTCCTATTACAGTACAAGTAAATTAAATAAATAATATTTGTTTTCACGGTCTTATCTGCAAAAACGGATACTGTACAGTCTTGCAAGTCCGACTGTCCTACTAGCTGTCAACCCATTCTTCACACACCTTGTCATTCTCTGTGTATCTGTTCTCGCCTCTGTGTGTGTGTGTGTGTGTGTGTGTGTGTGTGTGTGTGTGTGTACTCACCTAGTTGTGTTTGCGGGGGTTGAGCTCTGGCTCTTTGGTCCCGCCTCTCAACCGTCAATCAACAGGTGTACAGATTCCTGAGCCTATCGGGCTCTGTCATATCTACACTTGAAACTGTGTATGGAGTCAGCCTCCACCATATCACCCCCTAATGCATTCCATTTGTCAACCACTCTGACACTAAAAAAGTTCTTTCTAATATCTCTGTGGCTCATTTGGGCACTCAGTTTCCACCTGTGTCCCCTTGTGCGTGTTCCCCTTGTGTTAAATAGACTGTCTTTATCTACCCTATCAATCCCCTTCAGAATCTTGAATGTGGTGATCATGTCCCCCCTAACTCTTCTGTCTTCCAGCGAAGTGAGGTTTAATTCCCGTAGTCTCTCCTCGTAGCTCATACCTCTCAGCTCGGGTACTAGTCTGGTGGCAAACCTTTGAACCTTTTCCAGTTTAGTCTTATCCTTGACTAGATATGGACTCCATGCTGGGGCTGCATACTCCAGGATTGGCCTGACATATGTGGTATACAAAGTTCTGAATGATTCTTTACACAAGTTTCTGAATGCCGTTCGTATGTTGGCCAGCCTGGCATATGCCGCTGATGTTATCCGCTTGATATGTGCTGCAGGAGACAGGTCTGGCGTGATATCAACCCCCAAGTCTTTTTCCTTCTCTGACTCCTGAAGAATTTCCTCTCCCAGATGATACCTTGTATCTGGCCTCCTGCTCCCTACACCTATCTTCATTACATTACATTTGGTTGGGTTAAACTCTAACAACCATTTGTTCGACCATTCCTTCAGCTTGTCTAGGTCTTCTTGAAGCCTCAAACAGTCCTCTTCTGTTTTAATCCTTTTAATAATTTTAATAATTTTAATAATTATATTTAATAATTTTAATAATAATAGTTTTAATAATTTAATGTGTGTATGTGTGTGTGTGTGTGTGTGTGTTACCTCTTCCAGGAATCCACCCCATCCCCATAAAACCTTACTACTAAAGTTAACTATTTTGTTGAACGTTTGACACAAAAGTTTACTTTGTACTATTTTGTAGACGCCAATAAAGAAGCTAACTTGTGGTAACTTCATATAAAAATGCCTAAAGTTCGTCCAGCACTTTCATTTTAATCTATATAAATTTCCTTTTAAATGCGTGTGCGATTTAACATGTGGAAACTGTGATTTTAGAAAAACTGCGAGACCTCTCTGTAACCAACGGCAGCAGGCGACCCACCTTGGATCACTATTTAGAGCAGCATTGAAAAGAACATGTTAAACATATTTTAACACAATTGGAATATATACAAATTTGAAATATTTTGACTGGAACGCAGCAAGATTGGTTGTTGCCGCCGGGGCGGCAAAAAAAAAAAGTTTGTTGTACACCCCATACTCGCTCTGTGAGCGGTAGCGCAAAAAAGGGCTAGAGAGGGCACTAGAAGCCTTAATTAGACGCTGCAAGATTATTAAACATCCGGGTCTCAGGCTCGGGGAGCATTGTGATCAGCACATTTATGTATCCTTATGACTGTAAAAGAATGTAAACACATCATGCTATGAACTCTCATATATAAATAAATAATGTATTGTTGCAGCCGCCGCGACGTGTGGAGAACTGGTACAGCACGTGGCAGGCCCTGGACTACCAGAGCGCCTGCCCCCAGAACCTGAAGTATGTGGGCGCCTCCAACGGCATCAGGAACGGTATCCACGAAGACTGTCTCTACCTCAACATCTTCACCCCCACCGTTAGTCCACCAACGGGTTTTGTTGTCTTGGGGGGCACAGTTGCAGCTATGTATCTCCTTCCTCTTGCAGCAATGTATCCCCTTCCTCTTGCAGCAATGTATCCCCTTCCTCCTGCACACACACCTGCAGCTATGTATCTCTCCCTCTTGCAGTATGTATCACTCATGCACACATGCAGCTATGCATCCCTCCCTCCTGCACACCCCTATCTGTCCATTTGTTTAAACTCATGAATTACCATGTATGAATTCCTTATCAGAACTTGGTTGTATATACAACCAATGTCTTTTATATACACGTGTGTGTGTGTGTACACAATGCAAATGTTGATTCTCGCCAGTCATTAACGTTCAAGTACGTTTTTGAGACAATAAAATACATCTCAGAGGGATGGAGTAACTTAGGCTCTTTCTACCCCCTTCATTAACATGTAGATATGTACCTTCCTGTATGCACATAGGTATCGATCACCGTGAGCGACCAGTACCCCGTCATGTTCTACATCCATGGAGGAGATCTGGACCACGGTGCCAGCAACCAGTTCCCAGGGCACATGCTGGCCGCATGGGGTGAGGTGGTCGTTGTTACCATCAACTACAGACTTGGAGCTCTCGGTGAGTTGATCACCACCTCGTCAGCGACTTCAGTAATGAGGCTGTTAAAGTGGGTGGTATTGAGGGATGATTAATGTTAATCTGTTGGTGATTTAGATATTTCAACCCCCTGTAGCCTGGTCTGGCCTGTAATTACCCCAAGTGTAATTACAGGTCAGGCCAGGCTACAGGGTAAGAAATCTCGAAATCATCAACAGATATTAATCATCCCCACTACCACTTTTTGGGATGGGAATGCATGCACTGGGATGGGAATGAACTCAATTGGTTAATTCTAGTTTAGCTTATTATATTCAATGTCCCTTGGGACTCTAATATTAGTTATGAGAATGCAGATTCAAATTTGCATTTAAGTAATTAATTTGTTACAACTTTTCCATAGGTTATGATGGGTACTGTAAAGACTAGACCTGTTGTCTTTTACGATTAAAGTAGTTTTACTTATTGCTAATATCTTCTAATAGTTTCCAACGTTGTTCATACTGTAGAAATCTAGTTCTTAAATTGCATCAAATTGTATTAAGACCTTAAAATAATAAAAACATTTTCTGCATGTCATGATTATTTGTTTATACTGTATGTCAATCATATCAGTGTAGATGTTTTTCATAAAGAGGAGAAACTGTACAGAGAAGATTACTCTGAAACCATGAGTGATGCTAACAAGGCTCCATCTTGGCAGGGTTTCTGAGTACGGGAGATGTCAACTCGCCTGGTAACTACGGTCTCATGGACATGGCCATGGCATTAGAGTGGGTCCACACCAACATACGGTTCTTCAATGGGGACCGCAACAAGATCACGGTGTTTGGCCCAGGCGCGGGAGGTGCCATGGCTGGCATTCTTGCTGTACTACCTAAGACTAAGGCTTTTGTCAGTCAGGTCATATCGCAGGTTAGTCACTACAGTATTTACAACTACACCACATTCAAGGTCACACTCATACTACTCATTTTGTTTGAAAAAATAATTAAAATTTGGCCACAAAGAAATGCATACGTGTTAAATTATACAAGGAGTGTTACATAGTGTTACAATAAGTTCTTAGTACTCAATAGAAAATGCTGTTAGTTTTCATAACAGGCAAGTTTTTGCATTATACTGTAAATGTATTTAGCAGTAGTGTATTTATTTGTAGGTTGTATTAATTTATTACAATCTATGATGCAACACTTGGTAATATATTGCAGGATTCATGTCCTCATTGAGCCCATTAGAGAGATAGTGGCCCTTGGGTAAATTCAGGTAAAACAGCTTACAGACACATGGTCCTGGATTTAATTCCTTCACAGGACCAGACATTTGGACTTATTTCCCTAGACCTTATAATTTTGTTAACATGGCAGTAAATGGGTACCTGAGAGTTGGGCAACTATTGTGGGTTGTCCTTGGAAGATGTTGAAAACTTCCAAGGATGATTTCCATTTTCATTTGCCTTGGAAAGCCTCAATAAGTCTTAACAGGTTTTCTGTTCTTTGAGAATGGGAAAACATCATGACCAAACCTGTTACTGTATATGTTTATGGTCAACATATCATATTGTATAAAAAAAATACAGTATAGTTTTTCTGTATGTGCTGCATATTATTTTTCAGAGTGGGTCTCCACTGGCAGATTGGGCAGCACTTGATGATGTTTACAGAGTGCAAAACACCTCTCGTGTTTATGGTCTGGGAGTTGGCTGTACGGTTGAGTCCTCCTACAAGCTCCTACAGTGTCTAAACCGTCGCAGCTACGAAGAATTGGCTTCAGCTCCCATCACAGTATGTTTGTCATCTGCTAAATTTAAACGAACAGCTAAGCCTGTGATGTTAAAGAATTATAATTTGATATTTAAATATAAGAACTATATATATGCATAAATATTTGGATTACAAAATAACTGTATAGTACTTGTTATAAAGAAATTTGCACATGTTTTGCTAAAGAATTAAATTTGTCCTGCCTAAATGTGTGTCATTCCTGATGTAGCCAGATATAGGCAGCTTTGCTTGGGGTCCTGCTGTTGACGCTAACTTCACAGTGCCTGGAGATGATTGGTACAAGGACTGGAAGGAGAGAGATTGGCACATTCTACCAGAACTGCCCCTGGCTTTGTTTATGAAAAACCACCACCATCCACAGCTACGCTACCTCACTGGGGTCAACAGAGATGCAGCAGCCAACATGATTTGTAAGTACCCCACAGTTTCGTTTTAATGTTGTCAGAGAATCATAGTTCAGTTAATTTAAAATGTTATGCTGTACAGTTTATCTAAAAAATGAAGGCAGATTTTTGCATACTTTCAGTTGATAGTACCTTAGTGCATTATATAACTACTGGGGTCGTGTAATTTTTGTCTTAAAAATGCTCTGCATGCTTTTTTACCTTCAGTTGAGGACAATCGCTTGGTGCGCGATCTTCATGTTGTCACGGAAGACTTCTTCAATCAACGGATTAAAGACTGGGTCAAACACTATAATTACTCTCTCAACCCAGAAGGTGCCTATGATGCTATAAAGTGGATGTACACGTATGGTCCAGACCCCCACAACACTACTCACATCAGGGAGGAATATGTCAAAGTATGTAGCATTAAGGATGGTTAAAAGGATATATTGACTTTACCATGGAACTTGAATATTTTATAGGTGACACATATTTTCTTTTCATTTACAAGAAAGTTTTTAATGATTTGAACATACTGTACAATATACAGAATTATTCAGCTGCCACACAGAAAATGTTAAATTAGAAATAATATTCAGCAAATATTGATTTATTATACTGTATAGTACTTGTTTCTTTGTTTTGAAATTAAAGGATTTTGAATATATATCTACCTTTATAAATTATTTATTTCACAATTGCCTTCATAAAAATTAGGCATTGAATGTAAATAAATGCTACTGTACTTTGTGAGCAAAATACTTGATTACCTCTTTACTCCTGCCCTTGGTACAACAAAAGCTGCTTATGCACAGGTAGGCCATATTCATATTGGGTCATAGTGGTGTAAGAGACACTGCATACTACATTATGATCCAACTCATAATGACTTTAGATGGTGCATTCATTTGTACTCAGAGCCTTTTCAGTTAAGAATATCACACTTTTAGGCCATGCTGGTAACTGGGGTCCCAAATGAATTGGTCATATAGGCAAGTCACTGATTTCCAGAAGCTGAAGCTTCCTAAGAAGCACCCTGGAAAGTCTGGAGAAAGTCCTAGGAGCTAAATTTGGCCTGAAGGAGAGTGCGAACCCCAGTCAATCCCTACCTTGGATAGGAACATGCAGGAGGACCCACGAATGATTTGACAAGATATATGGGTTCAATTCCCAAGGTTGGAGGAGATGCTCGAGCACATTTACTTTCACTCGGTGCCTCTGTTCACCTATAATAATTGGATACCAGAGTTACCATATTAGACTGTTGTGGTCACATCCTGGAAAAAGTTGGAGGTTAGCCAAGAGAATGTTGATAATACTGCTCAATAGGTTTTTGTCTCTGACAGCAAGAAACAAAGTAAAAGATTATCCTGCTTTGGAAGAATTTGTCATCACCAAAGGGTATGAGTACAGTAGAACCTGACCCATAGTGAAGATCTAGTGTCTTCCTTCCACCAGTATGACCCCTACAATGATGTTTGAAAGATCTCAGTTGAACCAGTGCAAAATGTTAACCTGCCAAGACTGCATAGTATTGTTCGTGGGTACAATAGAACCTCTTATCAGGAAACAACCCAGTTATACAGCTCTGAACAATACTGTTCTTATGCCATAACTTGTATGAATAACTGTCGTTTGCATATGCTGCAACAAATTACAATTCTGTACTATCAAATTTAACATAAAATAACTCTATGTTTGCTTTCAGATGCTCTCTGATGCACTGTACAAGTCTGGTGTGGATCAGCTAGTGAAGGTATTAGTTAATTCCACCTCAAAGTACAGTGTCCCTACCTATTACTACCTCCTCAACACAACAGTAGAGGCTCTCAAACTTCCATTTTGGAGAGAGGTTAGTAACAATCATTGTCTTGATTGGTATAGTAATAGCAGTTTAGATGAATCATGCTAAGGAAAGACTGCAAATATCTTATGTTTGCTACTAATTAGTAGCTATTCATCATGGGTTGCCATTGAGAACTGCTAGTATATGGTAGTACAGTTGGGTTTGTTATTTACTCACAATTGAGAATTTTTGGTTCGAATCCCAGGTGGGACAGAATTAGTTGGGTGCACGTCCTATCACCTAATACATATGTTCACCTAGCAGTAAGTAGGTACTCAGCAGTTAGTCAGCTTGATGTGGGGTTGCATCCTGGGGATCAGTAATTTGACCTTTTTTTTTGGGGGGGGGGGGAGACCTCAACATAAGCCTAACGTGTATAAATACACGCTGGCTGCCTGTCTTCCCCCCCCCCCCAACGTTATGAATTATTAATCATCACTGTTTAAATGATGCCATCTTATCAGTCGGTCTTTCCTTGAGCCATGATGTTGAATTTTGGTGCATTTCAGCCACATAAGTAGCTGTGACTTCGACTTGCATAAATGCTGAGTTACATATGGCAAAATTAGCAGTGAACTCAACTTGACCATGAACTAAAAAATTATATTGTTCCACATTGAATCATTTTATAACATGTTTCCTTTACTTAATTATTTTTTTCTATATAAATAATTAAAATATTCATAGCTGTGACTGATAAGGATGATTATTACTGTGTAAATATCCAACCACTTGGACCGATTGGTACAGTGATACAGCCGTGCTTCGTGCAAGTCGGCACTTGATCCCCATCGGTCCAGCTGGTTGGGCACCATTCCTTCCCTCCATACTCCTATCATGTTATCATATTCCTTCTATATGCATTATAGCCAAACTGGCTTAGCATTTTTTGTAGATAAGTCTTCTGTATAAAGTTCTTATTTTATTTGCTCATAAACATTTGTACATTAAACCTATGCACACTACATCGTTTAGTTCGAAGATTTATTTTAAATTGTGTAATGTTAATTTTAAATCTGTAATTGTTAACATAAAATTTATTATGGAAACCTATCACTCCTATTTCTGTCCCTGATGGTTGAAAACCATATTTAGTAAGTTAAACAAATAGATCTTTGCTATATTACAGAAGTTTTTTCTGTGACTCTCTAATGAAAGTATAGTATATACTCTATTCCCAATTTTGCAGATTCCCAACAATATTGAATTCTACTTCCTCTCTGGAGCACCATTTATGGATCCAGACTTCTATCCAGAAAAGTTTCGTGTGTCCCGCGAGCAGTGGGGTGAGGGAGACCGCAACATCTCAGAGTTCATGATGAGGACCTTCGCTAACTTTGCCAAGTGGGGGTAAGTTATGTGCATTTAATGAAATGCATATAACAAATTGTATAATGGAAACATATTATTAATATAGTCCTTAATAAAATATTCTAACGCCATAAGGATATACTCAGTAAGTATGGAATAGTATCTGTAGTGATCCTGGGGAAATGGTTGTTACAGCCAAGAGTGTGTATTTACTACATAACATAAACTGATAACATTATACAATGTTTGACTTCAAAGTACTTCTACAAGTATTTAATTAAAAAGTTAAACTTTTATCAAAGTTTATAAAAGATTTTATAAAAATTAAAAAGTTTTTATTTAATTAAAAAGTTAATAAAATATGAGCAGATTATTAAGGTTACATAGTTTTCATGGAAGTTTAAATAATTAATTATGTTAAAGGGAAATCAAATAAGCATGTTTTGACATTATTGTCAGGAACCCAACACAGACTCAAGTTGAGATCCTGAAGGTGAACTGGGAACCAGTCCTAGAAGGAAATCTGAAATACCTGAGCATCAACACCACCTTCAATACTAGCATGCACTATAACTATCACCAGTCATACAATACCTTCTGGACCATGTATATCCCTCAAGTTGTAAGAGAATGGGTACCAACTGTCCCACCGCCAGTAAATGTAAGTATTTTTGATACTTCATATTCTATATTCAAAATATTCTGAAACAGAAGATGTGGAACAACAATTATTAGAATAATTTAATATTAATGTCTTTTTTTTTTTAAGAATTACTTGTACATCATCCAAATGTTTATAAATTATATGGTTGAGTAATTACCGGTGAATTTTTATTGAATGTGTATGATGGAATTGAACCCACATTCCTAAAATCCTCGGGCACACACAGGCTTGATTTCACTGTATGGTCTCGATATTTTTTTTCATACATTAGTGTTCTTGTGATGTCATTGTACAGTAATTACTAGGTTTTTTTCATTCTCATTTAAATTTTTATGGGATGGAAAGGATAATTCATAGGTGTTCATGGATAAAATATTACTAATCATCTAGTCATCATTTCTCTGGTTCATATTATCATCAATGATAGAATCTGCAGACTCCATTATTATTTTGTCTTAAAATCTGTAGTTCTTGTATTGGAGTTATTAGCACTCATTACATATGACTGGATTACACCTTAATTCCCAGACAGGGTTGCTTACAGTACCTTACAGTATTCAGGCAGAAGGTATTTTATTGTCACTCTCTTCACGCATCCAGCTGCATGTTTGGCAAAGTGGCTCATGTATACTTCAGTCAGGAAGGAAGGAAGGTTGAGCACTGTTGAACTTGCTCAGTATCTGGTGCCAACTCGATCAACCTCACCCACATTTAGGGAAATCTCTCGAGTCTTAAGAGGCTTGTATATCAATACTGTATTTGCAAGTTGAGTTATGGGAGAAATACTGGGGCAATGAACTGAAAAAAAAGGGTAGTGCATGCAGTGTAGACCCAAAATACAAGTTAATAATATACAGCCGCCTTTACATAAACTGTAATAAAGGATATTAACTTCATTTTCACCATACCTGGAAATGCAATACCAACTTGTGCTCATGGTACCAGGTAGATCTGGTACAAGTATATGAATTGGTTATTTTCTCATAAATGCACAGGTATATTACAGCTATATTGGCTGTCAACTTGTGCTTAGAGTAATTGTTTACATTATGGATTGCCTAAAGAATACAGTATAAAATTAGGATTGTTATATAGTATTAGTAAAAAACATAGGTATAGTAATTTAAAATATGAATGATTTTGCTGTTGACATCACATTAAATTTGTGTTTCTCTTTTTATTTATATTGAATGAAATGTCCTCAGTTTTACATTAGCAAATACAGGGACAAGCCTGGATCAAACTCACATTGGATGCAGCTCTTGTAACGGAGATCTGATTTCACATGATTTAGATAGCTCATCAGCAAGCCGTCTCTGTGATAATAATTCTGAAATAATCTGAAGTACGGTATCCCTGTTGCATGTTTTATTCTATCTGAACTATATAGATAAATATACATTTTATTTGTAAATAAATATACAAGGGTTAGATTGCAGAGTTTGTTACAGGAACTATTTTATACAAGGTTTCTTAGCATGCACAAATGTGACTTATTATTCAGCACTGGAAAAAGAAGAGAGAATTTAAATCATATTTTCTTCCATCAGCCTTGGACACAGCTGACTCAGCCTATTGTAGCAGCATTTTATGGGACGCTGGCATTTTGTGTGGTGCTGCTTGTCGTCCTATTTGTGTGCTGTGGCCTGTGGAAGTCGGCCAAGAGGTATGTTTCGTATTACTCTACCATAAACTCTTAGTTTAGTGTCAAGCTATTGTATAGTACGAGTGTTGTGGCGTTTTAAATTGTACATACTTAAACGTTAACGATATACAGTACTCTGTTAGTTAAATGTTAACAGCTATGCAATAGCTAGTTACTGCATAAATGTCAGTAAATTGGCTTAAATAGCCACTTATTTTCTGACCATTTTATGTAATATATAAAATACACACTTCACCGTGTTGTGTATAGAAGAGTGGGAGGTTTCAGATGGTTTCATTAAATGATTTGTGTAAAATTGGTTATACTGTATTTGCCTACAGTATTTTAATTGTGCCATAGGATAGCTAGATATCTTGGACACATTGCCTATGACTTTGAAAGAGTCCACATTACCAACATTAGAGGTAGAGTGGTAGTAAAATCCTGTTTCGGGTTACCTATTGCTCAAAATCGTGCAACATTCAGAGGTCCTTAAATTGATGAACCCTATATTGGTAACCTGACTAGGGGGTTAAGATAGACCTATAATTAAGCAAGTAGCTGTTTGAAGGTACTGTACTACATTGAGGTGCATTTGCCTGAAAATAGTTAACAAATCAGATGCAGATTGGAGCAGTGCGAGGTTTAAGGCTTGAGGCCATAATTATATTCAGTACAGTACTGTTTTGTGTTAATCCCCAAGAAGCAGTATATTTGTGGCTGGGAAGTTGTGGTAGTACATGCAGTACTGTTACTTAATAGTAGTAGAGCAAAATGCTACCAGTACTTTCTTTTAAATACATTAAAGTATTCTATAAATTTTAGGTCAGAAGTCTCCTTTACATTCATAAAGTTAAAGACTTGGTGGAAGACTCCCAAAAATTTGCATAGATAGTCCAAACACTACAAAAATGTCACTAGAAAAATTATGGCATAACAATTCACAACAAACAACAAGATTCAGTCTGGAGGTTGCAGGACCCATTTTTATCACAAGAGCAACTGTCTGAACCCTCCTTGTGTCTAAACACATGCTACTCTCGTGTACTGCTATACATAATGCTTGTTAATGTGTGTATACACACAATGAAATCACAATAACGTGATCTCTATGAGAATCTTTTGAGCATATTGTGATCAGTGGGTAAGACTTGCATCTCGGGGTAGCTTAGGATGCCGGTTCAATTTCACCCTCCTGCTCTAAAGAGTTTCTAGTGTGTATAAGTATACAGAACTAGTTTGCTGGTTAATTCATCAGATTTGTGAACTGCTTCATATATGGTATAGGAATGTGTACAACATTTTAAATTCAAGTATGGCAACTATCCATATACAATTTATATTTGAAAAGCTCATACTGTATATATCCATGAAACACGAACACATGGTTGACCTGCTCCCAGGCAGCCACTCACTCCTCAACTCTCGCTGTGCTCATGTGAGAATAACGAGTACTTGTGTGTGTCACTAAAGTCTGAAAGTGTTAAGGTTGTTGTGGTGATTGCATATGAGCCATTTGTTGACAGGTGGAAAATAATAAGAGAATTTGTCTGGTAGTTTTTAGAAGTGAGATTGAGGTTACAAAAAGTAATAATCTTTTCAATCAGTCTGCCTGTCCTAGCAAAGAACACCCTCATAGAAACAATTTGGCATTCATTTTCAAGCATAATGTAATCAATCTATGGAAACTCCTACCCATTGAAGTCATAAAGACAAGCACAGTGCTCATTCAAAATAGTGACCACCAGGTAAATATTTATACTTGAAAAGCCATAAATATATAAATACAGGTTTAAGTATGGAAAAGCTGCTGGCCTTGATTAATTAATTTATATAGTTGAGAAAATGAAATGGAATAAGTGGATTTTTTATTTTGTTTATGCTGTGTAGCATGGTAAAGGTAGAGGCAATCATATGAGGCATTTTCAATCAATGCCTCATATGATTGAAAAAATCAATTTCCTAATTCACACTAGAAACTAGCACCAAGATTACAAAACCTAACACTTTTTGATTTTGACGGCTCATAAACTATAATAATGCAAGTTTAGCCGCCATGATTGAGGAAAGGCGCATGTGGACACGTAAATGCTTAACAAATCCTGACCCTACTCTCCATAATTTAACATGTTGGTTTTGGTGAATTAAGTAGTAATATTTGTAATTAATAAATCATGGTTGTTTCTGCTAAATGTGTTATGGAGTTTTAATAGGTTTGTGTGAGAATGGAGTATTACAGTTTTGCTTTATAAAACTCTTTGTTATCAGGTAAGAGCATATTTTGTTGTTATTCATGTAACATTTTTTTTTTTCCCTCAAACTTTCATCATGGACTCTATTTCTAGGTTACTAACCATACTAGAGGTTCCACTTACCATATATAAAGTACAAGCAGTAAAAGCTCTGCTTGTACTGCTATATGCAGTATACAGTACTGACTTTCAGCATAATGGGTAGTTTCTGGGAAGCACCTACTATTTTACCATTGTTGTGCATGTGTTATTGTAGAATGTTCATCTTGTTATGCTTGGCGCTACATAGTTTTCTTGGCTTAGCACCTCTTTTGATAATTAGTATAATGTATACCCAGAAGCATACTGTGTATATAGCATTATACTGCTATATATACACTATACTGCTATGATGTATACACATCAGTATAATGTTCACATATACTATTGTATGTACAGGCAAATATACTGTTTTCAGAGGGATCGGTCCCAGGAGCTAATGAATAACTTCCAAATATGACAGCCCAACCCAAAAATTCCCCATATGGTAATTTTTTTTTTTTTAATTTGTTTTCTGAACACTTGTTTATATTTCCATCTTGCCTTATTTTTTTAATAAACTGGCTGGGTTGATGTACAAATATACGATACAGTTTTCTTGAAAGGGAAAATACAGTACATGATACTACAAGTGCAGTATCTTAAGACAAACGGAAAGAGATATCACATCAATTTTGGGGGCCACCATGATTTTTAGTACATCAGTTTTTGGCCCAATAGGACTTGCACATCAAAATGGGATGTACTAATCAAGAAGATGGTCGAGATGGCTGGTAGACAAGTGAGCTAGATGGATGGATGGCTGGCTGGCTGGCTGGTGAGCAGACAGGTTGGGGTGGGCTATGAAGGAGGAATAAGTGGGCAGGCTGATTGGGTGGTGTAAGGCGGGTGGCCCAGATGGCCGACAGGCATGCAAGCTGGGTGGATTCCTGGCTGGCAGGCAGGGTGGATGGGTGGGCTGGGCTAGATGGCTGCCTGGACATTTTGCCAGCTGGTGGGGAGCAAGTAAATGGGTGGGGGTTTAGCAAGCAGGCAGGATGGATGGATGGATGGATTACTAGCTGGTGAGGTGGGTGGACCAGGCAGGCTGGTGGGCTGGGCTGGTGAACAAGTTGGTTGGGCAAGCAAGGCAGATGGTTGGCATAATGGTGGGGGAGCTTTTTCTGTTTGGGTCTTCTGTTACATTTGGGCAGTTTAATACATTAGCTCGATTACGTTGCAAATGCTAAAAAGAATGGACTGGCCGACTATGCCTGCCTGCTCATCCCTCCCACCATCCAGCCCGTTGCCCTTCCAAATATGACTAAAAAGTTACCAACATTGGAATGAACTGAGAATACTATATTAGTCTTATCAGCACCATTATAAACAATAAGTAATCATAATGTCTTCTCAGACATAACATAGGATAAAAACCCACATGTGTATTTGTTAAATTTATGAAAAGAATTTACAGTCCTTTGCACTCTGAGTGCTTTGTCTAGATCTGAGTATGTGATTAGGCCAAGACTTGTACTCAATGTCTAATGTCATTAGATGCTGAGATGTAAGTATCACATACTCAGACCGTGACAAAGCACTCAGGAAAGTGTGAAAGACTTTGTCTAAATTCTTTACATAATTTTCACAAATACACAAGTGTGGGTTTTATCCTGTTGTAAACAATACTACCTGGCACACGCATCTAGGCAGCCAATCCTGCAAATATTGGCCTAAACATCTGCCCAGCCAACTTAGGGAGCATATTCATTATTTCCGAATAAATGACTTAGCAATCTGTAGCCAGAATACGAGGGGTAAACAAATGAAACAGCCGAAAGCAGTATCATAGCCTGTAAATACTAATGTTGTAAACAGCTTGCATCCCTTACCCAAGTTTAAACACCCATCCTTCAAATTTAGTTCTGCTTTTACATAGTTAAATCTCAACTATTACCATCCACAGCTTAAAAGCATGACTCCTAATATTTTTAATTGACATATCTAGAGATTGAATGCTTAGTCCAGGAAAATTTGTTTATAATTTTTTCTTTATGTAAAACTGCTGTACTGTAACTTGGAAGTCATGTTTGTAAATGTACAGAACATTTTTAGTTAGTATGATACAGCATTCTTATAAATTATATACATCAGTGAATAATCCTTTGATATTAAATGTTGGCCTTTAATTATGTTGCATTCAGATTCTAAGTGCATACAAGTATTAAAGTCTTGGTAAATTGTTACATGCTAACTCTTACAGCTTTTATGAAAGCATGGTACTTAAAAACAGATATTCACTACAAAATTCATTAGAATGATTATATAATGAATGCATTTAAATTAACTCCAGTTAGTATCAGGAATATAGTGTCACACTTTACTTCTTGCTTATTGTACAGTATATACTAAACTTATCCTCCTGCCCCAGACAGCGGAGCAAGGCGCTGACAGATCTGGTGTATTACAAAACGGAGACCGAGGCTCTTAGCACTGATGGCCACAATGGTGATGTGCGAGAGTAGAGCCTGTATTTAACAAACATGGACACACTCCCTTCTACTCGATCTGTGATACCACGCACCAATGTTTACCTATGCTTCAACTAACAATTGTTTGCTGTAATTTAGTCTTGCGCAATTAACACTTGCTTCTTTCACTTTGGTTGTTGTTTTCAGATGGCTATACTGTATCATTGAAAAGTAAAATAAATACTTTACTTTTCAAATATGATAGAGCTTTAGAGATGGAGTCCATGTCTTGATGCTGCTTATAAATGAAATAACTGTGTAAACACTTCTAGAGCAACAAGACAAGAGGCTGTGTACTTCACCTCTCATTCTCTCTCCAGACAGAGAAACAAAGCCTTGGATGATCTCCAGTATTTCTCAACTGACAACATTGGGCCTCCACATGAGTCTGAAGATTACAAAGTAAAAGAATATCTAGATAAGTTGTCTAACAACAACCACCAGGAACAGTCACGTTCAGTCACTCCCAACACAGTCACCACTGAAACCGCAGATTTCTCAGAAAATACCATCCTTAAATCCAAGGAGCCTTACCGTCCAGGTTACCAGAATTCTAATATGGCAAAATCAGTGGATCAGCTTGATACTCAATACCGTCCTCCTCAACATACTCCTATTATGTCAAGATCTACAGACAATATCATTCAGAATTACCAAGGAGGTTATGGAAGGACTGGAATGGGCCCAGAGTTCAATGTAAGACAGCAGCAGCGACCTATTACTCCCAATTCCATGGTTCACTCTGAGCCTAATGATCGGCCATCTCGGGAACTCATGACTATGCCATTAGTGCAGCAAACTGAACCTAAAGTAAAAATTCCAGTACCTGCTATGAGGACTTCTGTTGCCACCATAACCTCAACAACTGGCCTCTTGCACACAGAATTGTGATCTCACCTCGTCTTCCACTCAACAGTGGTTTTCTCTTATGGCATTTATAACAGTACCATGAATTATTAACTCTTGTAATAACCAAAATTAGTTCTGACCACTTTAGTTTTTATGAACTCTTGCAGCTGGACACATTTTGTTGCAAATGATGCCCCCCTCACTATTGCTCTTCCAAGTGCCAAAATTAAAGTGTTGAAGGCATTATATATGTACAGTATATAAAATAATTGATTATCTTTCCAGGTAGACAAGAAATGGCCTTGTGTGTGTACTTTAGTTTATAATCAGTTAGGTAGTGTGATGTATAGATCCGGGCAGTGAAGGTTGTAGGGCAAGAGGGCGGCCATGGGAAAGATCAGCTGAAGGTAAACTGACAACACTTGATGTAATCATACATTGTAAATAGAGTACGTCAAGTATTACTATAGTTCATTTTGTTTTTTTTACATGTCCAAAAAAAACAAAAACAAAAAAAAAATTGTTGTTTGTGGTTGTATGTGTGATCTCATCTAAAATAGTGTGGATTTATGACTCATATTAGTAGTTGACCATAACAAACCCCAATAACATTAGTCACAACAGGTCACAAGCATTATATAGTAAGATTACAGTAATGTATACAAAGGTCACATACAGTACTATAGCAAAGTTACCCAAATTTTCAAATTGATTTGCTTTTTGTTGTCTAAACAAGAAGAGTATACTGTATTAACACTACAAAGTAATGACTAGTTAGGTTTTGTCAAATTTGTGTAACTTTACCAAGTATTATTTATTGAAGTTTCTTGACATTTTATGAGTACAGTATCTCGAATTTACTTTGATATATTTTCCAGATTAACTTGGGTCTTGGGCATTGTTATTGGAACTACAGCATACCCATTAAGCAAGTATCAATTGAGTAAAATTTAACAAAATTATTCAATTGAACGTTTATCTGTACATCGTGCAAAGAATTAAAATGCGCAGAGATGTTAACATTCACTTAGACCAGTTAATAATCCATAAGAAACCAGCATTAACTATGCAACATCTATCTTGGTTCAACAAAGTCTGATTTTTGGTTACATAATAATAGTCAGCCACTTGACATTTTATTTAGGTGGCTTAAGTGTAAGATAAGGCCATCAGTTCTTGTAGGAAACAATAGCAGAGAACATTAAAATTTGAAGATAAAATAATATACCAGAACTCAACTTCACCTCTGCCCATGTCTTATGCATTTAAATTTTATTCTATTAAGTACTTTGTATATTTTTTTAAGAAAATTTAGATGTATATAGGAATAATTTATTAAGTAAGAGTATATTTAAATTAAAAAAAATTGTACTGTATAAGGACGTTAAATAATAATTTGCTGTACTTATAATATACTATTTGACAAAAAGAACTGATAAACAAGTTCCCCTCCCTATTACCTTGACTGACTATACATACTACTATAATATGTACTGTACTACTACCAAGGACAGAACTATAAAGTTAAGAGTAATCACTGTAAGTAATCACAAATTTCTTTCAGTAGCATGTTATGCATCATTTTGTTCAGTTGATATTCTTAACCATTTACACTCCTAAAATAAAATACAAGGTCTACCATATGTGCATTTAAAGTAATTACAAGAAATGATAGTTAACAATATGTAATGAAAACAAAACTGTAAATATGAATACAGTGCTTAATTCCACTGTATAGTGGATTGCTGCTACAGTGTAGCTCAGTCTAATGAAAAATCAGACTTAACAGAAATGGTATCTGAATTAGTAATTATCAAACACTAAGCCAGGCTAGCTAGAGAGCACTCAGCATCTGGACAAGATGAATTTGACTAATTTCCAGTATAAATAAATTCAACAAAATATTATTTCATCCAAATGATTTCAATATAAAAATGCTAAAACCATGCCATATTATTTCCATTACTTGCCACACTTAGTGTGGTGTTAGTAATGACTGGATGCAATGGAGCGAGTACAGAACCAATTGTTTCATTCAAGACCGAATCTACTGTATTTGTATAAATCTATTTTCTTATTTGTATAGTACATATGACTATATATGACTGTAGTTCAGTACTGTACAGTGAATGGTGGTATGTCAGCACCTCAGACTAATGATACATTAAAAGTGTTTGTGAAGCTAATACCGTAATTTTATCAATAGGTCAAGCATTAGAATATAAGACTAAAAAGAAGTGTGTGCAATCTAGCATCTCTTATTGGGCATGTTATATTCTTTGCATTGTCCATTCATTCTAGGTAACTTACTTTGGCACAAAATATCCATACCTTTCATGGAGTGTTTAATTTCTGCAAGGTTGAAGCATCAGCTGGTATCAGTCATTAGCTTATGCAATGGATAAAATACTTGCATATTACTAAAAAGCTCATTTCTACATTAGCTGCCCATTTTAGTATGTAATATACAGTATTGAATGTTTTAACTATGAGTTCTGAAAGTGTGTTAGCATGATGTTCAAAACATGTTATGAAGTTTCTTGGTGTGAACATGTTTAAGTCTTTTGTATATATATATATATATATATTCTTCTAAATTTTGTAAATAAATGTCTTTTGTATACTACAGTTTAATTATTCTTACCTCTGTCATAAAAATTATGCAAATAATGATATAACTAGGTAAGTAAGATTTAATAACAGCATTCACACAAAGTATTAAAAATCAATGTTTACCTAGATTAATAGTACAAGAATGATGGTGGCCCAGGGCGAGTGGTGTGCTGAAAAGTTGACAGGTAGTTTGCTACGATGATCTCTGATACATTGGTTGCTCCCTCTGATAAGCTATACCCACACTGCTTAACATAAGTGGTTTCTGGGAATTTGGAGATAAGATGTTTTAGCATCAATTGGAACACTAAGGTGTTAACCCCCCCCCCCTGCACTGTACGCTCAATTTACATAATTTATTTTTTCTTGCACACTTTGAGTTTATTAATTTATTTGTTTTATTATTGTTAACATCTGTTCCCCGATCATGGGATAATTACAAAATTTACGTTACTTTGGCCGTAGTGTATGGACGAAACCTCGCAATGATGTCAGATTCACGAGCATTCATACAGCAGCAGGGTAGAAAATACAAGTTGAAAATGCAGGAAAAATATATTAAATACATGTGAATACAGTACTAATCAGAAAGAAGGCAAGCAATTAAAATCGACCTATACATTATCACACAGTACATTATTTTGTGTACCTGTTTCAAGGAACTTCCTGAATCCTTAGTCAGCTGAATGTCTTTATCTTACCATGAATACTTGAACTGTTATAAAGACATGCCTCAAATACAGTCATTAATTATATAAAGTGCCAATTTAAATATAATACTTTTATGACCCAAGTGTGTTACATTCATGAGCCAATGATCATTTATTGTAGATGACTTATAATGGCCCTGTAATCTTTGACCCTAGACATCCTGTAGAGATGGGAAAACAACATTGGTCGTAAATCATCTATTGAATTTAAATACCATACATATATATTATATAAAGGTTAAATTTTATATGAATATATATTTTAAATGACAAGATATATTACTTAATACTGTAATAATTAGTAGAAGAATGTTGCATAACACACGACTTCACAAATGTAAGAAATGCCACTGTAAGAGAGAGACCCTTGTGTAGGGAGAAATAGCAGTGTTAAATGTTGAAAAAACAGTCTGGAACTCTGCCCCCTTTCAGATGCACAGAGCATCATCTCAACAGGAAAATGTAATCTAAAAAAACAAAAACAAAACAATGTAAACAAAAGGGATAAAATAGTTAAGAAAAAGCACATTCAATGCAAGAAAATATAGAGGAACAACAGTGTTAAATGTAAAAAAAAAAACAGCCTGGAACATTATAAGACATAATTGGAGTATTGGGAAATGTGTATGACATGTATAAGGAGGGGACATTATTGGAACCAGGCAGGGACATGTGCCAGCCCCCATCAGTCACTTGGGAGAGGGAGGCAGTGACAACTAGACCTGTGTTGTGGATGGTCTCCAACAAACACGATAAGTGCAGTATTATAGATGGTTTATAGTGGTGCTTCCCCTTTTCTTTATGAGTTAGAGATAGGAATTTGTGTAAATAAGGATTATTGGAACCCTGTGTGTAGGGAGAGTGGTGTGTTGTTAATTCAGGTGTATGTGCTCAGCTGTGTGCAGCATGGAGGGGATTATCCACATTTATTTGTATATTCATTTGTAAACCCAGGCCCTTTGTAGTGACCTATGAGGAGTGGGAATAGAGTAATGACCTTAAGTCCCAGGTTGTAGAGAGAGAAGGAACCTCCCCCCCCCCCACTTTTTGTTTGTATCAATCCTGTTTAGGGAATGTTTTCAGTGACTAAACATCAGGACAGGATAGAGCCAAGCACAAGACATGCCAGTAAGTAAACAGTTGCCAACTTGCCTCAATAAACTCGAGAAGAAATATAAGAGAACAAATTAAAAAATAGAAAAGCTATTAACAAAATAGAGAAACAGACAGCAGAACTACCTCTAGCCAGTATTTAAACATATGAACCAGAATGTTATGAAGCTGCCTACGAAATGAATACTGGACAACAAGTATACAAAGAGGGAGCCACGCCACCCACGAACCGGGCTAGGGTAACCTTATTACCTTAGACTGTGATAGTCTTATTTTGATGTTGAGGGAGTTTGGTTGTGGTATTATGTGGGGGAACCAGTTGTGTATGGAACAGTTGTTTGTGTAATGTTGCAAGGTGGTAATGGTTTGTAAGGGAAGGGGAAGAGTACAGACGTAGGTACTGGCAATATTGTAGTTTTTTTGAGATATATATACAAGAGTTGTTACATTCTTGTACAGCCACTAGTAAGCGTAGCGTTTCGGGCAGGTCCCTGGAATACAATCCCCTGCCGCGAAGAATCGTTTTTTCATCCAAGTACACATTTTACTGTTGCGTTAAACAGAGGCTACAGTTAAGGAATTGCGCCCAGTAAATCCTCCCCGGCCAGGATACGAACCCATGACATAGCGCTCGCAGAACGCCAGGCGAGTGTCTTACCACTACACCACGGAGACTGTAAAGATGCTCGTTGGCCCGAGGCTCGCTCGGAGTTAGATGCGCGTTGGTGGTTGTATGTGTAGTGATACGTCAGGGTTGTATTGTGTATGGTGAGGTGGTAGTGGTATTTGGTTGTAATGGGGTTGTTTAGTTGTTGGTGTGCATAGTGCTTTTGTGTGATGTTTTATTTTGATATGTAAGGGGTTTGATGTATTGTGATTGTGTATATTGATGGTTTAGTGTAATGATACATTATGTTGGTGTACTGGGTGTCATGTCAGATCACTGTGATGGTTGTTGACCAAACCACACACTAGAAATTGAAGAGACAATGACATTATTACTATCGACTTGATAATGGTCCAGAACGGACCTAAATGTCGTCGTCTTCAATTTCTAGTGTGTGGTTTGGTCAACATTTTTCAGTTGCATTATTGTGACTCATCACCTGCACTGTGATGATTGCTGATGTATTTTTGTTGCCATGTGTAAAAAATACATTAGAGTATGGGGTTGATGTGGTATGGGGTTGGTATTGGCCTGTGTTGTTTTGTGGTGTGTGTTAGGAAGGGTCATGTCCTTTGATGCTGTTGCGAGCAGTGTGTGAAACTTCCTATTCAGTTTATCCTAGACCCTTTCATGTGTGGTGTGGCTCCCTCTGTTTGCATACTTTGTCCATAATTCATTTTGTAGGCAGATTTATAACATTTTGGTTCATATGTTTAAATACTGGCTAGTTATATTTCTGCTGTCTGTCTTTGAATGTTATTTCATTCACATTTTACCAATTTTTTCCTTGTTTACATTTCTTTGAGTTCATGTTCTTGGGCAAGTTGTCAACTTGACCAAAAACCAGCTTGCCAACCAACCAACTGGCCAGTGTTGCTTATTAGTCTGTCCTGTACTTGGCTCTGTCTTGTCCTAATGTTTAGCCTCTGACGACATTCCTACTGTAGAGTAAAGAGTAGGAACTCTGCTCATTTAATTTTTTCTTTTGTGGTATTTATTGCATTAATTATAAAATTTTATATGCTAGAGTAACTATACACACACACACACCACATTTATGTGCACTGTTAACTTCACGCCCATAAATAATGGAAGACACCTGCTTGATGAGGTTCTGGGAGTTCTTCCACTCCCCAAGCCCGGCCTGAGGCCAGGCTCGACAACAGACACTAAAACACCCCAAAAATGCATTCACTATTTTGGGGTTACTGTTACAAATATTGTGAATCATTGCACAATATTTGTAACAGTTTTAATTATGTATTAAATATGGCAACACTCAATTCCCAAACCAACAGTAAATATATCACAATCTCTACCCATGTAAATTATATTAAAAGTTTAAAATATCACCAATTTGTGTTGCACAAGAACTAACCAAACATGGATGTGTATTCTAACAGTACTAACCAAACAGGAATGTCTTACACCAGTACTATCTGAACAAAAGCATGTGTTGAACCAGTACTGTTTGAACGAAATCACATCAAACTCAAAATGAAAACCACCTTAAAAACATATAAAAAAATAAGTCGAATGCTTTTACCATGATCAAACTCCAATACCTAATGCTGTACTTGTCCAAGACAATGATTCAAAGTAATTTATATATGCCAGCTTTTTTTTAGTTCTATGCTAAGGAAGTTCCAGTGAAATTTAATAGAAAATATTTTAATATTTTTGATGTAGGTAAAAAATCAATAAGATTGGTTTGATAACCATCACACGGTTCATTTTCAGAGTGACAACATTTGATAGGTTATTGGTTTCAACACATTACTCAATGTCATAGAAAGTCATCTCCCATGAAACAATTTGGGGTGTGATGTCTTGTTTTGAAATATCATATTGCTGGCTTTCCTAACTGAAAATTGCAAGTTTTATTCAATGGAGGTCAGAGTTTGGCTTAGTGGAGGTACTCAAATGTTATTTTAAGAGTGGATATGGAACAACACTATCTACTGTTCTTATATATTAATTGAGCTACCATGAAAATTTAATACATCATGTCGAACTAAAAAAAAAAATAGGTTGTCTTGGAATAAGTTAACCTTTCCCACAAGACCGCTAACAAAAACCCAATGTGCAATGTTGAGGAAACTTGTATACTTTCAGGAATTTAGTGTATTCCCCCCATACCAGAGGAAAAATTAATATGAATATGAAACAAATTATATTCCCCTTATTCCTACATTTTCCATTTGCACTACTATGTTCACATGCTTATCCCAAGTATTTAAACACATGTAACTATAACAACAACAATGATGGAGTTCTTCTGGAGTAAGCATCACAATGTCCATCTTTAACCACCCTCAACTATCCAGTCTGATACTAAATTACACATTTTATATCCTGCTTGTTGTTAACCTGCTTTTATATAATGGAATTTGCAGCACACAAACCTGAATACCAAGAACCGCATATTTTTTAAACATTTTGAAGGAATTTGCCTTGGTTAATTTTGAGATGTGTGTTTAACATTTGCTGCCAAACATTAATGCTATTAAATCAGCACCAACTGATCCTTTACATATCATGGAGTGTACATTCTGCTTTATCCAGCTCATCTTCCTGTTTAGATAGTACTTATAATAATGATGTGGACCATCGTATATATAGTGACGTAATTGACAATTAGGAAGTAGAATTTGGTACTATTGAATATGGACAAACTGGAAAAGGTTTTGTATTTATGTTGCTAATAAAACCTAACTATACCATCCTAAGCCTAATATAATACATATACAGCATGTGCTGGCCTAGGAATATGTAAGTTTGTTTTTTAGCTTTATTCCAGACTAAGTGAATAGTACCAAGTTCTACTAATTGCCCATTGCATCAATATAGACACAATAGTCCAAATAGTAACAAAAGTTCTATCTAAACAGGAGAATGGGTTGCTATATCTGGTATTCCAATGTCAGCACAGTATTAACTCCTATGAGTAGGCTAGGAACCATTGTTCAGAGCCTTGTGTATTACAAACTTTTCTCCTCTGCACTCTACAAAGGTCGAGTACCATAGTGCTCCCAGTAGCCGAGACAGTTAATAATGTACATGATCTTACCGTATTTTACCAGCCTTGAATGATGCCACTAAAACATCTGGGACAGTAAATGAAATACCTTGAAAAGGTTCACTACAAATTTGTCATTTTTGTTTGTAATTAGTTTATTACTTACTGTAGCCATCTTCCTCAGCCATATGATGGTTGCCTTGTAATCGTCTCTCCAATTTTCAGTATAGAAAAAGTTTTTTAAATGTGAAACTAGTTTAGTCCTGACTAGGAGGTTTACGCCCCATTAAAAGGAAGTACTTGAAACGAAGGCAGATTTCGGTGTCCTCTGGACTTGTTGTCACATTAAGTGTAGTCATAATCCTGGCAAAATAAAATCTAAATTAGTTCTTGAGATTATATTTTAACTTTTTAAGTAATATGGAAATTGTAACATTAAATATTCTTGATTACTATACGCACCTGTACAGCAGTGAGGGGAAAGAGACACCTGTACAGCAGTGAGGGGAAAGAGACAGCAGTGAGAGGGAAAGAGACAGCTGTACAGCAGTGAGGGGAAAGAGACAGCTGTACAGCAGTGAGAGGGAAAGAGACAGCTGTACAGCAGTGAGAGGGAAAGAGACAGCTGTACAGCAGTGAGAGGGAAAGAGACAGCTGTACAGCAGTGAGAGGGAAAGAGACAGCTGTACAGCAGTGAGAGGGAAAGAGACAGCTGTACAGCAGTGAGAGGGAAAGAGACAGCTGTACAGAGGTGAGGGACATCAACAGCTGTACAGCAGTGAGGGAAAGACACACCTGTGTAGATATTATAGAGGAAAAATAAAAAATAGTTGCTATAAGGCCACATTGGCAGTTCAATAACAGCCATAATATTTTTGGAATAAAATATAGTTAATGTTTCATGTCAGTATGCATCTTGTCCTCAGGGAGGAGATCCGCTCAAGGGAATGGATTGGGAATGTCTACATAATTAGTGCTATTATTTACTCTATATCCATGGTTAGGTTAGGTTTCATTACATTAATATGGTGTATTATTGACAATGTGAAATATGGTATTCAAAAACTATTTCAGTGTGCCCAAGAATTCCATTTACAAATTCTTTTGTAAATTTCTTCAAGGAAAATGTTTTCAGCATAGACAATACATTTTAAGCCAACGATTTATGATACAAGTTATGATACAATAACTTTAGAGTAATCTTTGTTTCCAACAAAGGTTCATTTGCCAGTTTACATGTAGACTCTTAATGGACCATAATATGTTTTCAGATCACAATTATCTAAATAACTATCTCAGTGGTTTAAAGAAGGGGGGGGGGGTGTGGTTTCTCATGGTAATGGATTTGCTGAGAGAATGGGCTCCAATATGATGAAGCATTCAAGACACTGAACAGAAACCTGTCACAAGATACAGGAAATATATACCGTCCTAGTATATATACTCGTACACGTATATATACTAGTACACGTATATATACTGTACTTGTATATATAAACTTACAGATATTGAGAGCGAAAGTGGAGTAGGCCATAAGGTCTTGACATTTTGCTCAAACTCAAGTCATGCCAGAGGAGAGGTTAAGGCAGTGGACCTGACACCTAGCCTCGGGAAAGGAAACTTGACTTATGTTTTAGGTTGTAGATGGTCTGCATTTACGTAAATAAACCTAACAAAACTAAGCAGTATTCGTATCGGGGAAACTAAAGAAATACTTTTCTCATACCTGTTCTGAAAATCATCAAGAATCTTCTGGGCAGCAGCATCACCATTTTTTGATTTAAAGTTTTGGTAGCCTGACCATGTAGTGATGTATCCCGTCAGCTCGGCAACTGTTGCCATTTTATCCTTGAAATGAGTATCATCCCTGTATCGGAGAAGTATTAATTAAACTACAATGTATGGAAGCAAATTTAAAAGAAAACATATCTCAGGAATATCCACACAAAGTGTTAACCATTTGCAGATGCAGATACTTAAAAGTTAAACAGGTAAGATCACTTAATAGTACAGACAGCACCCGTTGAACAGGAGGCACCATACAACCCAGCTAAGTTCAATAATCAAATAGAAAAAGGAAAGGGCAGGTCAAAGGCCAGAAGCAGATCAGCCTCAGCTCAAATGAAAAAGCAAGAACTACCTCCCATGGAAGCCCCAAAGATAAAATCCTACACCCTAGGAATCAGTGTGCCATTCCATGAAAAATAAAGCCCCAACAGGAGAAAAACACTATAGTGCCCATAGGAAGAACAAAAAATATCCTTAGAAAACTATGCAGGGAGCTGCCAATGAGCTCTGGAAAATGACATTGACCCCAGAAAAAAGAAATAAGAATGTAGGCCAAGAGTGGGGCTCCATGGAAGCCAGAAAAGAAAGACTGAACTGTGAAAACACTAAAGAAGGGTGAGGAAGGGGGCAAGCTTTCAAAAGCAAGACCCACTCCTTTGAGAAGAGAACATGAGGGGAAGATGACACAGACCCAGACCCTGGATGCCAACCAGAAGTGACCCAGCAACAAAACAGTAAGGTGAAGTATACCGGATCTAACCTTGGCCAACTACCAGCTGGTATAGGAAAGAACAGGTTACAACCCAAAAGCAGAAAATCTTGAGAAACAAGACACAGGACATACTCAATAATAGTACAAGGGAATTTAAGAAAGGTCCCAGAAAGCCATGAAGAGAGGACTGTAAACACCAAAAGTTCAAGTACATTTTATTGAGACAATAAAATACACCTCAAAAGAGATTGAGTAGACAGAAATCACAACAGCGTGATGCATCAAATGAACAAATCCACAAGGGCCATGACGAGGGTTCGAACCAACATCAGAGGGGATCCCAGACGCTGCCTTAATCGACTGAGCTACGACATGGTAAAAGAATTGCAACCGGGAAATCATCCTAATTTACCACGGTTCCTGCAGTCTCTCCAAGACCGAATCCACGGCCCTTATGGATTTGTTCATTTGATGCATCACGCTATTGTGATTTCTGTGTGTAATGAAGTAAGGGCGAAGAGGTAAACCAGCCTATTGACAGCTCGGGTGCATGGGAGAATTGTGTAAAACCCTGGTTTGTATCTCAGAGACTGCAGAATCCATGGTAGGTCAGGATGATTTCCCGGTTGCAATTCTTTTACCATGTCGTAGCTCAGTCGATTAAGGCAGCGTCTGGTATCCTCTCGGACGTAAGTTCAAACCCTCGACACGGCCCTTGTGGATTTGTTCAGATAGAGTAGCTTAGCTTTGGCTATAGGCACCAAAAAGTGCACAAGCAGCAACCCACACTTCATTCTTGGGGGTGGTTTCTCACTGTCCTTGTCTCCAGGCAATGTGAAGACCTTAGGTCAAGGGTCATTGTTGTGGTGTCAGTGCTACCAGTCAGTGGCAGTTAGGGTAGAACATGATTGACATTCAGTAGTTAGCAAGGATATACTACTTGGCAATTCTTGTTATGCAAAGTAGTGCTTAGAAAGGATGCAGTCTGAGTTCAATTGAGCATTTTAGTGTCACTTATCACCAGTATGACCTGGCAGAGACAGCTGGAATTATCATTATTGCCGTTATAATCATTACTCATGTTATTCCTTTCATTACTACATTAGTATTATCATCATTATCACTGGTGCAAGATCCTTTTTATTACATATAAAACATACTGCCGTGTTATTGTCAGAGCTACTACTTGTGCATTGACAGCAGCGAAACAGCAGTTTGCATAAAATACTAGTATTTCACACAACACTTACTCTAATATCTCAAACTCTATAGACTATGGCACTATTTTATAGCAATAGATTCCTTTAATTCTTATAAAAAACTACAGAATTACTTGGAACTATAATAATTTAATAACCACTGAAGATGGCCTTGAAACTCTAATCTGTGTGGTGAAGATTCACTGTCTAACCTTGTAAATTTTGTGTAAGGTATGATGAACTTTTCTTCACTATAAGCAGCATCGACACTTTTACGGCCATCTCCCCAGTAACCACCTGTATCCTTCTTATAGACCTTCAGGAGAAAGCGAGTGCATTAACTACTTATCTCAGTGGGGAGTGCCTGTACCACCTTAGAGAACACCAGGAATATTTACCAATATATAGCATTTTAGCTGTCCACCATTAATAAAGCATAACAAGTACTAAGACACACAGTCATGTTCTATTATCCCACAAAGATTTCCAACACAAATTGTAAGGAGATTACTACTTTATATATATATATATATATATATATATATATATATATATATATAAGTAGTAGAGTATTTATAGGAAAAATAAAAAAGACTAAAAACATGTCTTCAGTTTGTGTAATCATTACCATTATCTCATTCCCACTTTCATGAGGTGGGGAGGTATTAACCAGGACTTAGGATAAAAATAAGAGAAAACACCCAAAGACACAACAAGAGGTCATAGATTTCAACTAACTAAACAAAGCTGCCAAAGAAATATGAGAAAATTCACTTTCACAGAGTGGTAGAAGGTTGGAACAAGTTAGGCGAGAAGGTGGTGGAGGCCAAAACCGTCAGTAATTTCAAAGCGTTATATTACAAAGAGTTCTGGGAAGACGGGACACCACGAGCGTAGCTCTCATCCTGTAACTACACTTAGGTAATTACACAAACACACTTGTCATGTCCTCCACACAATATTGTGTACCACAATGTCGTGTAGAAAGGAACTCCCACATTCAAGCATATAGAGTACACATAATGATGTAGAGTAAGAAACTTAGTTGGTGGTACGTCACCTAATACTTGAAGCATAAGGTATTTCCATATCCACATATTTATCATCAAGTGCAGAAATTTTGGCTCCCCAATATGGGCCCAGTTCTTTGGTGTACACCTTAAAAATTAAAAAATTAAAATTACAAAATTACAAAATAGATGTGCCTAATAATTTTAAACTTGCATTGTCAACATGCTTCTCTAGTGTAGGTAGACAAACATTAAAGTGCAAGAGGACCATTTAATGATGATTTGAGATTGGCCGTTGCTGGGCAAAACATCAATGATTTGATGATCAAGTCAGTTTAATAATCAATTTGAACATCAGATGAAGTCTCATGCTAATATTGCTTGGTAAACTTGTCAACAATCGCATTAGGTTTCATGTTTCTCTTCTATCACTGAAAACTGACAAAATATCACCAAAGTTAGTATTGCAGACTCGAGATACAATTACAGCTTCTGTCACATTTGCTATACAATTCTGTCCATCGGTCTTGCCATCATAAATAAGCAATCATCAATTAGTTGTAATTAGAAATACAAAAAATTATGAGACAATATTAAAAACAAAAGCCTGGGAGGGCTTCAAATATTAAATTTGTGAAAGGTGCCATTCAAAATATAGTACTGGGTGAAATGAAAGTGACCCTTTATAAGCAGTGCATTGGTATCATATCCTCTTAGCCACATGTTCTTGATTGACCTTACCAGGGAACCGAGAAAATTCTAGGCTCTTGATGACTAGTAGCTTCCGAGAAACAAATAACCTTGCAACAATTCACTATGACCCACTTCAGATCATTCAAAATTACAGTACAGTATCTACAAAAAGTTCTTGGCAACTCAAGACTCACCAAGAATCTTCCTGAAAATTTTTAACCCTTTGTTTCAACTCTTCAGCCAGTGTCAAGAGAAAGCACTACTGGATCCCAGAGTAAGACAGCAGTTTCATGCTAAGTGAAAGTCCACCTAAGGAGAGGCAAATCATTACATATCCAACAAAGAGAGGCCTCATTCTTCTGTCATTCTATCAAAGGCAAAGGAAAGTAGAAGAGGTGATCCACAAGCATGTTCAACATGTCCTAAACATGAACAATCCCAAATCTCATGCACTGAGGATTTAATCTTGCGAAATCAAAAGGTCGTTTTCCACAGTAAAAAGAAACAAAGACCTGACTCAAGAGTACTTTTACTATCTGAATAGCCCAATTAGTCCTTGCAAATAACACACATGTTGATGACAAAATCCCCAATAGACAATATGGGAAACTGTGATCAGTTAGGTTCAAGTGCTTTGGTACACCAATTTTTGTCCATTGTGGCAACTCAAGAGGATGGATTGGACAGCCACTGGTGGAACTTTTTCCTTGCAATCAACTACAGGAAAGGGCAGCACCCTGACACAGTGGTAGCAAATTCAAAGTTCAGAAACCCTTTAGTAGATTGGGTACTACACTGAAGTAAACTGTGCAGCAAGGAACCCACTGCACTAAGACAGTCATATTAAACAAACCAATCCTTATCTTATAAATAGACACACCAGAGAAACAAGTCATTTGCTGTGTTGAATGGTTTGATGGGTTTGTATATGTTACAGCAAGTGGCTGCTTCTGCAAGATTTTAACTCCCCCCCACCCCCATGAGCTGCTCATTCCATCAATAAGGGGACAAGACAGCTTGCAAGGTTAGTTGTCATTCTGGGATGAAGAGTTACTCAGAACACAACAGGTTGTCAGTGTCTTCTCCAGCCCAGCAAATATAGACAAGGGCAACCAAATGGAGCTTAGTCAGAAAACTACATAACAAAACCATAAGGTATCCATATGCAGGCGATGAGTCACAATAACGTGGCTGAAGTATGTTGACCAGACCACACACTAGAAGTTGAAGGGACGACGACGTTTCGGTCCGTCCTGGACCATTCTCAAGTCGATTGACTTGAGAATTTACTCAAAAACTTGAGAATGGTCCAGGACGGACCGAAACGTCGTCGTCCCTTCAATTTCTAGTGTGTGGTCTGGTCACCATAAGGTATCCCTATCAGGAATACCTAATATGACACACTACAATATAGTGTGGGGGCTCAAAGTTTCTCAAATATGGAATAATTAAGAAAATAAAGGATACACAAGGCATTAATTTACCTCCACTTATATATGCATACTGTACACTACTTTCTACAGTTCAACAAAGCCCAATGTTTATCTCAAAACACATTCTACAGCATATATAAAGTACAGTATAGCTCACCCACCTGACTTCCAACTGCTCATCATAGATTAACTTGTACTTTTCTCCCCCATACTGCTCTAGGTAGACCTCTTTACTCCCTTGGTGAACATAGCCATTCAGTTCACTTTTATACATCTAAGATTTGGAGAAAGGTACATACCGGTATGTGTGTGGTGGCAAGACAGGAATATACAATTATGTCGCTAGTTTATCTACTTGTCTTTAACCCTTAAAACTTAAAACCTTTGTTGGAGGATCAGGAAGTAAATTATAAGCTATCACCACAAAAGGATCAAGGAATAATTCTACATTAAATGGTAGTAAAAAACTACCATCACATAAGATTAGGGAATAAATGACAAACTATCAACACAATCACAAATTCTGTAGCAATAGAATCTTCTATGGCATTAGCAAATATTTGGCTAGCCTTCAAGCATATTCATAAACAAATACTGGAAAAATATTTTAAAAATATATTAGATCTTAGAATGAATATGCAACTGTAATATGGTGTTTACTCAAAGATATATACAGTACAGTATTGATAAAATACTAGGCCATATATGCAACAAATTGATTCTATTGTCAACTATAAATTATAATGAAAGAATGAAACCACTGGGGAAAAATAAATTGATTGTAATGAAATCACACTTTCTGGGATGGGACATTAGTAGCTATCCTGAGCTTTGCACTGGCATACAAGAAGCATTCTGGGTACATCAGGTTCAGGCCTACCAGGGGTATGGCCAACATATAGGGATGAAAGATCAATTACAAATATGAACTATCCACCAAAAATGGATAGTGGTCACAAAAAAACTCAATCTTCCTCTGCATAATATTAATACACAAATCACCAGACAAAACTTTATACAGTATTATCTTACCACCATGTACGTAGCTGCTTCCCACCATCGCAATCAGACAGCAGCCCTAGCAAGCAACTCACTCTGGAGCTCAAGCAAGACCAATAGTATTGGAAAGGAGGAGAATGCAGGAACAGATAACTACTATGGTGCCATCCCAGAAATTGTAGCCTCATTACAATCAATAATCTACAAAATTTCTTGGTTGCCCATCCATTCCAGCAGCTCTCCAATTCCTCACAATGGCCCTCAACAAGGAAAAGTAACTTGTATAAAATAATTACCTGCCTGGACACAAAGAGGAAGGGCAAGTCATAAAACCATATGCAAATGGCTTAATTATTGCTAGAGAATGATGTGAAAAAGGATACAAGCAACAGGGACACCGAGTCTCAGATAGGTAAGGCAACCGAACCATGGCTGAAGATATTGTTTGCACAGTATTCTTACCTCCTGATGCCTTGGGTCCTGATTATAATTGTAGACATGCTTGAGAAGAGAGAGATGAACTTCCTATCTCACAACATGTCCAAAATAAAGCAAAGCTGAGGTGTCTCTTGGATGGAGAACAGTTGGGAAACTACACACTAAAGTGTTAAGGAATTGCTCCTTTGAGAATTTTGTGACTTTCTTTGCTTTTAGGGGTAGTTTATCTTAGTAGTAAGCATTTTTTATTTCCACATGCTCATGCCACCTCTTGGAGGCAACAAGACAAATGTCCTTGTCCTAAGTAGGAAGAAAGTAGCTTAGGGAAACCTGGCATACCCAGAATGTCCCTAACATACCAGTGACAAGTTGAGAGGAGCTACTAAGGAACCCATCCCAGAAAGACTAGACAGGACAGCTATGGACGATTTTATAAAGAAGTATATAGTACAAGATGCTGTGATTCAAAATTGCTAAAAAACCAGCGTTGAATGTAATGAAACGCCATTTTCTGGGTGAGTCCCGGAGGCTCCCCGGAGCTATCCCAGGCTGATATGCTAATGTCAGACTTTGGCATCAGTCATGTGTATGGAGTTCTTAGGCCTACCGGGGACCACGGCCAGAACCGGGCCCCCTCAGAGAGGCAAGGGGAGCAATGGCCTATAGAAGCCCCCGTGTAGTTGGAAGCATTCTATGTCTGCCATCGACCGGAACAGGCACCCAGAAAGGTAAGCGCCCCAAAACAAACCCCTATTCTGGTTAAAATTGCTACCTAATACCGAACTAGTGGATAGAACTCCCCAACCGAAAACAAGCAAATTAGTGTGACGTCACACACTGCCGCGCCGCTGTCTGCGCAGCTCCCCCCTCCCCAGGAGGGGGAAGGGGGAGCCCCAGACCCCCCGCGCCGGCTACCCACACCTCAGTTCTTGAGGCTGGATGTCAAAAACGCGAAAAACCGCCGACCGGAGGGAGGGAGGGATGCCGGGGAGCCTCCGGGACTCACCCAGAAAATGGCGTTTCATTACATTCAACGCTGGTTTTCTGGGGGGAGCCCCGTCGGCTCCCCGGAGCTAACTACCCACAGACAGAAAAAGAGGGACTTACCCGGGAGGCGGTCGTCGCTCACCCCTCAACTCGAAGCCGAGACAACTGGCTGCAACCGCCGACCCAAAGCAACACAGGCCCGACGAGGGCCAGGGACATTCACAAGGTAACGAGCAGCCAGGACCCTGTTCGACCGCCAAAATCCCCGCGCCCGAATATCAGACCAAGACATATTCCCAAAGACGGCAGCAAGAGCCGCGAACTTACGAACGTCATGGGCACGGGGATAGACCGCAGGCTGGCTAGACCTAATAACCCTGCGGACGACCTGAGAGACCCGAACCCGCGAACAGGGAAGAAGGGAAACCGGATCAACCCACAGCGCGTCCCCGGACACAGAAGCTGTGGCGCGCAAATAACGGCGAAGCGCCGCAACCGGACACAAAACATGATGCACCCCCGGCCTGACCAACCAAGCATCAACCACCCATGGACCCCTCCGGAACGCAGCAGTCTCATTCTTCACCAGAAAAGAAGGAGACGGCTGCAAACGAACAAAACTATCACCACGACCAAAAGAGCAGAAACCCCTGCGCCGGAGGAGAGCATGAAGCTCCCCTACCCGACCCCCAGAGGCCAAAGCCAACAAGAAAAGTGCCTTGGAAAAACAATCCTGGACCGAAGGGGCCACAACGAAACGAGGAGATGAAAGGAAAGCGAGCACTCTGTCCAAAGACCAGGACGGCTCAGGCGACGCATGAGCAGGCCGGAGGTGAAACAATGCACGAGACAGCTTGCGAAACGGCGCAGACGTAACATCGATACCGAAAGCAAGCTGAAGCGGCTCCGCCAGCGCCGCACGATACGAAGCGACAGTGTTAGGCATAAGATGACGGTCCTGAAACAACCACGAGAGGAAGGACAAGACCACCCGAACAGACAAGGAGCTAACACGACGAAGACGCAAAAAGAAACGGAAGGACCGCCAGGAAACTTCATACTGCCGCCGAGAAGAAGCCCTCAGGTGGGACACCAACAAGGAGGCCACCTGATCACCATAGAGATGATGATAGACTCGAGTCAAAAAAACCATACGCGAAGACTCGAGGAGAAGATCGAACCAGCTACGTGACGTAACGGCCCGATCTGCTGAAAGAGGCGGAGCCGCGGGAAAACCCACGGGTTCGGACACCGAACAACCAGCGCCTGAAACCAAGGCTGGGCCGGCCACCAAGGGGCCAGAAGGACAACTCTCCCCTGGTAAGTCTCTAAGCGAGTCAGGACCTGGAGCAACAGCCGAACTGGGGGAAAGAGGTACAGGAACCCCCACCTCGACCAGTCGAGCCGAAAGGCATCGACCCCGACGGCCTCGCAATCGGGGAAGGGCGCCGCATAAACGGGAAGGCGCCGCGAACACGCCGACGCGAAGAGGTCCACCTCGGGGCGCCCGAACGTCTGGCAAAGCCAACGGAAGGACTCGTCGTCGACCGTCCACTCCGTGGAGAGGGGAACGAAGCGAGACAGGGCGTCGGCCAAGACGTTGGACATGCCCCGTACGTGAACCGCCAGGAGAGCCAAACCCCGAGAACTCAGCAGACAAGTCACCCGAAGCGACCAACCCCAAAGAGACAAGGACCGCATCGAACCCCCGCGGTTCAGGCAATGAACCACCGGAGAGCAGTCCGAATGGAGCCGAATCGTCGATCCGCGGGCCACCCGAATCCTCCCCAGAGCAAACCACACTGCCGCGAACTCCCGCACCGTACTGTGAGCTCGACGGAAGGACGGATCCCAACGCCCCTGGCCGGCCTGGTGAGCACTGGTCACAAAACCCCAGCCGAGAGACGACGCATCCGTGTACACATCGAGCGAGGGCTCGGGTAGGCGCCAAGGCACTGAACCCCGAAAAACCCGAAGAGGAAGCAGGTGACGCAGCAACCGACGCAAGTCCCCCGGGGGTCGAACTCTGCGATCGCGAGAGAGGCGGAAGGGGGAACCCCGAAGGAACCAGAACAGCCGTCGAAGCCAAACCCGACCCGGCGGGTAGACCACCATCGCGAAGTTCAGGCTCCCGCACAGCCCCTCGAGCAACCGCCGGGTGACCCGAGGGCCCTCCAGAAACAGACGAAGGCGGGACCGCAGCCGCAGGAGAGACTCCGGAGGGAGAGACAAGGAGGCGGTTCGAGAGTCCCACACGAGACCCAGCCAAGTCCGAACCTGAGAGGGAACCAGATGGGACTTCCTCCAGTTCACCAAGAACCCGAACCCGGCGAGCTGGGAAAGAACCAAATCCCTGGCTAGCAAGCAAGCGGACTGGCTGGGAGCCCAAACCAGCCAGTCGTCGAGGTAGGCCAACACCCGAACACCTAGGAGACGCAAACGAGCCACCACAACCCGTGTAAGGCGTGTGAACACGCGAGGTGCCAGGTTCAACCCGAACGGGAGACAACGAAAGCGGTAACTCAGACGCCCCACTACAAAACCGAGCCAGTCCCTGAACCGCGGATGAATCGGGACATGCCAATAAGCGTCCCGGAGGTCCAGGGACACCATCCAAGCACCCGGCTCCAAGAGGAGCCGAACCTGAGACAGCGTAGTCATCCGAAAGGAGGGGCAATGAACCCAGGGGTTCAGACGGGACAAGTCCAGAATGAACCGCAGGTCCGCGCAGTCCCGTTTCGGAACCGGAAACAGACGGGAAACCCATCTGAGGGACGACGTCGTTTCGACGACGCCCAAGCGTACCCACTCCAAGACGACTCGACAGAGCGCAGGGGAAGAAGCCTGCCCCGCCAGCCCCGACCCCCCAAAGGGGGGAGGGGCCACCCAACGCCACCGCAGGCCGCGAGACACGACCCGAAAGGCCCACGAATCGTGGGACCAGGCGCGGGCGAACAGCGCAAGCCGCCCCCCCATCGCCCCGTCAAAGGGGCAAACCGCGAAAGGGCCGGCGACCCTTACGAGACCCAGAACCCCGCACAGCGCGAACACCGCGCCGACCAGACGAGGGAGGGTCCGCAGGAGGAGCCAACCCCAAACCTGACACCAGAGGCCTACCACGACGAGAGGAACCCCGAGCCCTGGCACGACCTTTCCGGGAAGACCCACCCCGGGACCCCCGGAAAACCAACAAGTCCGACATCGGACGACAAGCCGCCGACGCAGCCTGAATAAACTGCGCCACGGCCGACTCCCCAAACAGGAGAGGACAAAAAGGTGAAGAACGCCTAAGAGCCAGAGCCCAAGCAGATCCCACGGAGGAACCCAGCACCGCCTGCCGACACGCGAGACGGGAAGCATAGAACAGGGAAACCGCATCCCGCAAAATCGGCGTGAACAGCTTCAACAAGGCAGCCGACGAACGCGCAGCCGAGGACAAGGTGCCGGACCCCGGGACGGACCCAAGCGTCCCCACATCCTCCACGAGCCAATCCGAAGACAGCTCCAGGAGGGAAAAGAACCGCAAGGCCGAACACAAAAGGCCCCGAGCGCGCAAGTCCTCCGCCACGAGCGCCGCCGAAAGGGAGGGAACCTGCACATGGAGCTGAATAACGCCCACATCGCGGGGAAGGGCAGGGGCAAACAAGCACTCATTCAGGTACTCAAGTTCACCCCCCAGGAAAACCTGAAGCACCGTGGAAGCTTCCCGCCACTCCAGCGTGCGGGAACGACAGAAGGAATGCCAGGAATCCAGACCAAACAAGGGGCAGTCTGCTAGCCAGGATGACTCCGGAACCTCGTAACGGAGCCAGAAAGGGAACGAAGTCCCAAACCTGAACGTGGACGGATCCATTTCCGAGGCATAATCCGGGTCACGCAGGAGGTAAGCTGCAAAGGCCGCTCGCACCACACCAGGTTGGATGCGATAAGCCGAAAACCTCCGGAAGGACGGAACCGACGTACCCGGGGGAACACGGAACCGTACCCGGGGAGGGGCCGACACCAAATCCAACTCGTACGCAGAGGGGGGGAAAGAAAACCCCACTCCTTGTAACAATAAGCCCCGCTCAGTGGGAAGAAAAACTCAGGCGGGGTCCAGCGGGGCCCAAGGCCCCCAAGTCAGCCCCTCCCCAGCCTTGAGGTCCGTCACCACAGGACCCGAGGCCGAGTCCTCTCCCCAAGCCCCGACCCCACAAGACAAGGACGGAGCAGCCGGAAAAGCTGGAGGAAGGGGGGCCCACTGGTCAGACCCTGAAGCTTCGGCCGGGAGACAAGACTCGAATGCCTCTGCCGCCCCCCCGGAAGGGGCAACCCCCGAAGCTGCCCGAGTCTCGAGATCAAGTAACCCCTGCTCCGACCCCGAAACCCTCAGACGCTTCGGGGCCGGAAGCAGGGGCGGGGGACCAGAACGAACAGAAGGGGAAGGACGAGGAGGTGCGGACTGAACCAGGATCGAAGCGACCCCCACCCCCAAGTCCGGGTCTCGAAAAGCAAAGCGGGGCAGCCCCGGGGCATCCGGGGAAGCAACCAACCGAGCGCGTTGCAACAGACGAAACCTAGACTGCAACGCACGTGCCGCCTGTACCCGAATAGAATCATCAGAGGATTCGGTAAATTGAGTCACAAGCAAGCAGCAACACTCACAGGACTCAGGGTCGAAAGTATCACCGACCCAACAGGCAGCGTGGCAGAGGCAAAAACAATGAGGGTCACCCTGAGACAAGGGGACCGAGCAACCCTCAAACTCGCACACAGCGAGTGGGGACCCCGGGGTCACATCCATCGGACCCACGCGCCCCCTAGGGGATTCCCAGGGTCCTGAGCGTTTACTTTAAGAGGACTCGCGCTCAGGTAGTCCCAGGCAGGGTGCTGCAAACCGGCGCCCAAAACTACCAAGCAAACTTCTAAAGCTGAACCCCAGGGACGTGTACACTCACGGGGACCTAGCAGGGGGCGCCACCGAGGAGAACAGTGGAAGGGCAAAAACAAACTGAATAAAATGACAGAACCCCCCACCAGGCAAAAACAAAAAGAAAAACAAAACCCCGCAAGAGGACAGCGAACCCCAAGGAACAGAGCCGGCCGCGATGTCGGGAATTACAAGCTGAGCAGCACCCTGCGCCCCTACCAGTGCAAACTGCCTCTTACCTGCCGGTAACAAGGGAGAACAGAACACCCAAGAGCCCAACAGGCGGCCGAAAAACCGAAAGGTAAAACGGACCAGCAGAGACAGACCCCGAGGAGCCTGTGGAAGGTGGCCCCAAGCCCCAAGGGCAGTACTTACAGGGCACCTAGGGAAGGCAGCCCTAGGCGCATGCAGCCCGAGTACTGAAGATAACTCCTGGCTCTCGCACCCACAAAACTAACACCACACTCAAAGCACAGTGCAGTAGCGACACCGGAGCCAGAGCACACGACCATCGCCTATAGCATCAGCCTCAAGAACTGAGGTGTGGGTAGCCGGCGCGGGGGGTCTGGGGCTCCCCCTTCCCCCTCCCGGGGAGGGGGGAGCTGCGCAGACAGCGGCGCGGCAGTGTGTGACGTCACACTAATTTGCTTGTTTTCGGTTGGGGAGTTCTATCCACTAGTTCGGTATTAGGTAGCAATTTTAACCAGAATAGGGGTTTGTTTTGGGGCGCTTACCTTTCTGGGTGCCTGTTCCGGTCGATGGCAGACATAGAATGCTTCCAACTACACGGGGGCTTCTATAGGCCATTGCTCCCCTTGCCTCTCTGAGGGGGCCCGGTTCTGGCCGTGGTCCCCGGTAGGCCTAAGAACTCCATACACATGACTGATGCCAAAGTCTGACATTAGCATATCAGCCTGGGATAGCTCCGGGGAGCCGACGGGGCTCCCCCCAGAAAATAGTGCAAAAAAGTTATTTGTCACAATTAAAAAGCATAAATGGTTCTAATATACTGTACTCCAAGAGAGACAAGATTTATTATAAAAAAAATAAACAGTTGAAGCTTAAATCTATTTGTGACCACAATTGGTAATCACCAATGGCTCTACATGCACACATACATCCACATTTATATTGGCTTAACAAATATCAGTGCTGTATTGCATAATGATGCCTTATTAAATACAAGAAACAAAATTCTAGTAATACTATACTCACGTGATCAATAATTTCAAACAACTTTTCTGTCAGGTTTTCATGGACGGCATATGGAAACATGTATCCATACAGTGCAAGGACACCACCTGTAAATTATTACACTTTGTGTAAGTTATGGGAAAATTTGTCAATGAATGCAAAATTTTCTTCAAATATTGTACATTTAATACAAACATAACCACATGTTCTAATGTTGAAAATCACGTTACAGAACAACCTTGATTCAACAAACTATACGGGACCAACCCCAATTCGTTGCGGAGGGGATTTGTTAAAACTGGAGATGCCTCCAGGATGCCTCCCCCCCCCCATGCCCTATGGGCAATTTTTCCTGAGCAAATTTTCCATTTCAACCTATGATATAACAGACAACTACCAATTAAACATCTAGCCTTATTTCCACATGTGTTAAGCTTTATCACATCTAGCTTATTTCTCATATCATCAGCTTTAAAACTTATTTACAAAAGGTAGCAGTCATATTTTTTTACTTGAATTAACCCGAGGACCACTAACACCAGTGACCTTGACGAGGACAGGAAGCTGCTAACTTGTCAAAGGTTCCCACTTTGCCCTGATGATCTGATTAGGGCAAATGAGTGAATGAAAACCAACTCAAAATGATAACAAACCATAGAATTGTTTTAAATATGCTCAATCGCTTCCCTAAGACACCTTACTATTTTTTGCAATGTTGCTCACATCTACAAAAATAATTACAATTTTTGTAAAAAATGTAAACAAAAGGGATAAAATGGTTAAGAAAAGGCAGAGAAAAATATAGAGAAACAATAGTGTTAAGTATAGAAAAACAGCCTGGAACATTATAAGACTTAATTGGAGTATTGGGAAATGTGTATGACATGTATAAGGAGGGGACATTATTGGAACCAGGCAGGGACATGTGCCAGCCCCCATCAGTCACTTGGGAGAGGGAGGCAGTGACAACTAGACCTGTGTTGTGGATGGTCGCCAACAAACACGATAAGTGCTGTATTATAGATGTTTATAGTGGTGCTTCCCCTTTTCTTTATGAGTTAGAGATAGGAATTTGTGGAAATAAGGATTATTGGAACCTTGTGTGTAGAGAGAGTGGTATGTTGTTAATTCAGGTGTATGTGCTCAGCTGTGTGCAGCATGGGGGGGATTATCCACATTTATTTTGTATATTCATTTGTAAACCCAGGCCCTTTGTAGTGACCTATGAGGAGTGGAATAGAGTAATGACCTTAAGTCCCAGGTTGTAGAGGAACCTTACCTTGAGGTTACCTTGAGGTGCTTCCAGGGCTCAGCGTCCTCGTGGCCCAGTTGTCGACCAGGCCTCCTGGTTGCTGGACTGGTCAACCAGGAAGAAGGAACCTCCCCTGCCCTTTTGTCTGTATCAATCCTGTGGTGGATCCAAGTACACCTCCCACCCCTTTGTTCTAACTAGTGTGAGGAAATCTGGTATTTGTTAAATAAAATCCCATTTGTAAAATTGTACCCCAAGGTGTATTTCTTGTCCCATGTAGTTAGAACTGGTGACTATTACTATATAGACCCCTGCACTTCCATTATTTATAAGAAAGAAAGAGTGGGTGTTGTTAGCGATACTGTACTTTAGGGTACAGCTTTCAATCCCGTACCTTACATTACTTTACTTACCTGGGACGAGAACCCTATCAGCTTCCTTATAAAACTGTGGCAGATCAAACCAGTGACATGCCTGGCCTGCAGTGATCAGCTGTAGACTGTTGTCAGGAAACGGTAGCTTCTCTGCACCACTTGTTCTACAAAATCCACAGATACTCCCTTTTAGTTTATCTATGAATAGGACAAATTTAAACCAACATGCAAAGCAATAGGACCCAAGATTATTAAGATTCTTACTTTTTCTAGAGAATACATAATGAAAAAGATTTTTCTTTAAATAATTTAAAGTAATCCTTTACATAAGTAAGAACTCTATACATCTTTACAATATTACATATCAGTCATTTTATCCTAAACAATAATAATAAATACAATAGATTATAGTTTGTGATGCATAAATAGTCCAGTACAATACTGTATAGTACCTGTACAAACTTAATAGACGAGGCAAAAGCATATTGCATTAATACTTACTTGAAGAAGACATTTGCTCTTGAATTTAGTTTGATGGCCTCAGAAGTCTGAGCTTCTGAAATATCCAGACCTGTGACTGAAGCAAAATGAGGAGCCAAGATCTGCGTGCTCTGACCGGAGCCACAGCCTACATCAGCAGCAGCCATTACAGGTCCTTCATACTGAAAATTATCATAAAGATCAATTAAATAACCAAGTTCGACACAAAAACATACTGTACAGTAGATGCAGCACTAGGATAGTGAACGTTTTTGTAATTTATGAACAACTTTATAATAATTCCCATTGTCAGGGACAGGAAGCTTGCACTCAAGCTTACTGGGGTCCCTCTAGGTCAACTACTAATAAACTTTAACCACTATATGTGCACTATTGCACATAAGTGGTTTTAAATACAGTACAATGCTCATGCAATACATTCAGTTCATAATAAACTGTAATAAAAAAAGTGCCTAACAGTTTATATTAAATACAGTACTGCAATTCAAATTACACTGCATCTTGGTTCAAATTAATATAATTATTAAAAACTATTTCTTTGTCATACAGGACAGAGCCTTGCTTGAATAGTACCTAGTCTGCCAGGTACTGGATTTTTCAAGAATTTAAGTGTCCACTTAAAAAAACTGTACATCTTTCCTCAATCATGGCAGCTTAGTCTGCATTTAATAGAGTTTACGAGCTTCAAAACTTCGGGAAGTTTGCGTTTCGGAGTTTAAAAAATCCACAAATTGAAACTAAGCTGCCAAACTTAAGGATATACAGGTTGTATAGATGAACACAACTGTATAGTAATAGTAATAATAATTGAGGTGTGAACCGTGCTCACCTTTTCTTTGAGGAAACCCATGATTTGATCCACAAGAGAAGTGGGGGGTTGAGGTCTAAACTTTGCATAAGCAGCAGCATGAGCTGCTCCCTCAAAGAAGCGACTGGCCATTGTCCTTCAAAACTACGACAGCACTGAAATGGTAGGTATTTATTTATTTATTTATATACAAGAAGGAATATTGGGTTAGAATGCGTTAGAGAGAATGTGTTAGAAGGTATGCGTTATACATTAAACTTCAAATAATGTAGGGATGTTTAACATTATTACTGAACTAAAATTAATTTATTTATTGATAAAGAATATACAAACCTCATAATACAGTATTGAACTGTTATATCTGTACATCTAAGCATTTTAATTTCAGTACCTGGAATATATGCAGTGATAATTCTGGCACATTATTCTGGTTCAGGAAGCCTGTACTTGGACTTATTAATGTCTCCCTGTAGGTCAACTATTAACCTTCCCCAGGGTGTAACCAACGATAGTTCCCTAATTCCCAGGTTGCCCAATTCCTTCGTTTACTGCTAGGGGAACAGAGGCATGAGGTGAAAGGCAATGTTCCCAATCATTTCTGCCTTGCCTCAGGATTGAACCCAGGATCCTTGATTGTGAGTTGAAGATACAACCACTGTCGCCTCACCTCACCTAACTGCCTCACCTCACCTAACTGCCCCACCTCACCTAACTGCTCCACCTCACCTCACCTAACTGCCCCAATTCACCTCACCTAACTGCCCCACCTCACCTCACCTAACTGCCCCACCTCACCTCACCTAACTGCCCCACCTCACCTCACCTAACTGCCCCACCTCACCTCACCTTAACGCCTCACAGCTGTTACCCAAGCATTGTTTACCTCCGGGAATGAGATAGTTGGTAACTCTCTTTACACTATACCTCTCTATATAACTCTCTATACCTTTTGCTAGCTACAATAGTTTGGTGTTTTGTTGGTAAAGCCTAGCATGTTTATTTAATATACGTTTATTCATACGAAATATACAATAACTATGTTACAAAAGTTTATATTCATAACAGAGGAATTGTATTATTTTTTTAAAGGCCACAAATTATGCAACGTTTTGAATACACTAACACTAGTGGCCTCGACGAGGACAGGAAGCCGGCGGCTTGTCGAAGGTCCCTCCACTTGTCCTGATGAACTTTTCCAATTTGACTTTAAAGTTTAACAGAGTTTTGGCATGAGTGTTACGGCTTCGGCGGGTAGGCAGTTCCATGGGAACCTAATAACCGTGTGGGTGAAAAAGCATCTCCTGTTCTACATTGTGGTTTGTTGAGTCTGAAACCGTTGCTCCTTATGTTTGTGGTACATCTGACCTGCTGAAGAAATTTTCCTGATAAACATCTTCTAAATTGTTCAGTGTTTTAAAAGTTTCAATGATATCCGCCCTGTCATGTCGGGTTTGTAGTGTTGTTAGCCCTGTGGCCCTCAGCCGTCCTTGATACGTGAGTTGACTTATCTTTGGATTGTTTTTTTATTGCCTGGTGTTGCACTTTCTCCAGGGCAGCTATGTCCTTCTGAAGATGAGGTCTCCGTGCATACAGTAATCCAAATGGGGGCCCGCACCAGAGATTTATACAATTGAATCACTACTTTTTTTCCCTAAAGTCAAAGGTACGCTTGATTATTCCAGTGGTTTGGGTTACTTTTTTCACTGCTGCCCCCACCCGTTGTGCCACTTTCATTGAGTGGTGGATATTGACTCCAAGGTCCTCTTCTACATCAATCTGCTCTAATGTAATGTTATTAATTTGGTAATTGTGGCGAGGGTGTACAATAATTAGTGTGTGTGTGTAATTACTTAAGTGTAGTTACAGGATGAGAGCTACGCTCGTGGTGTCCCGTCTTCCCAACACTTTGTCGTATAACGCTTTGAAACTAATGACGGTTTTGGCCTCCACCACCACCACCTTGCCTAACTTGTTTCAACCGTCTACCACTCTTGTTTGCGAAAGTAAATTTTCTTATATTTTTTCAGTAGCTTTAGTTTAAGTCTATGACCTCTTGTTCTTGAAGTTCCAGGTTTCAGGAATTCTTCCCTATCAATTTTATCGATTCCCGTTACTATTTTGTACGTAGTAATCATATCGCCCATTTTTCTATTATCATCTAGTTTTGGCATATTTAACGCCTCTAACCTCTCCTCGTAGCTCTTGTCCTTCAGTTCTGGGAGCCATTTAGATCTTTGCACCTTTTCCAGTTTGTTGATGTGCTTCTTAAAGCACCATACAACCACTGCGTATTCCAGCTTTGGTCTAACAAAAGTCGTGAACAATTTCTTTAGTATTTCACCATTATGTATTTAAAAGCAATTCTAAAATTAGAAAGTGTAGCACAGGCTCCTCGCATGATGTTCTTTATGTAGTCCTCAGGTGATAGTTTTCTATTAAAACTACCCCGAAAACTCTCTTTTTATCAGAGTTCTTTAAACAATTTTCACATAATTTATAGGTTGTGTGTGGTCTACGTCCACCTATTCTACATTCCATAACATGGCATTTATTCAGATTAAATTCCATTTACTAAGTGGTGCTTCATACTCTTATTTTGTCAAGGTCTTCTTGAAGGTCATGACAATCATCTAAGTTTCTTATCTTCCCTATTATCTTAGCATCATCAGCAAACATGTTCATATAATTGTGTTCCATCTGGTAGATCGTTTATGTAGACGATGAACAGTACCGGTGCAAGAACTGAACCCTGTGGTACTCCACTCGTGATATTTCTCCAGTCAGATACATTGCCTCTGATAACTGTCCCTCATTTTTCTGTCAGAAAATTTTTCATCCATGTTAGAAGCCTACCTATCAATCCTCCAATATGTTCCAGCTTCCATAGCAACTTCTGGCGGAACTCTGTCGTTAGCCTTTTTTATGTTCAGATAGATGCAGTCAACCCAACCATCTTTTTCCTGTAAAATCTCTGTGGCTCGATCATAGAAATTGAGTAAATTCGTTATACAGGATCTTCCAGATCGAAAACTGTACTGTCTGTCTGCTATTATACCGTTTTTCTCCAGGTGTTCTACCCATTTAGTTTTAATTTGTGTTTCCAATATTTTGAATATTACACATGTCAATGATACAGGTCTATAATTGAGGGATCTTCCCTGCTGCCATTTTTTGTAGATTGGAACTATGTTAGCCTTTTTCCACACATCTGCTATGACTCCTGTACACAAGGATGCCGGAAAAAATCAGTTGAAGTGGAATGCTAAGCTCAGGTGCACATTCTCTCAGAACCCATGGTGAAACTCCATCTGGATCAACTGCTTTGTTCTTACTTTGCTCCAAGAGCATTTTTTTCCACTTCATCTCTTGACACCTCTATGTTGTTCTCCGGAATTCTTATTGTGTCTGGTTCTCTGAAGATTTAATTTTGCACAAACACACTTTGGAACTTTTCGTTTAATGTTTCACACATGTTCTTTTCATTTTCCGTAAATCTGTTTCCCATTTTCAACCTTTGAATCCTATCCTTTACCTGAAATTTGCTGTTGGTGAATTTATAGAATCGGCCAGGTTCTTGTTTACATTTATCCGCTATCCCTTTCTCAAAATTTCTTTTTGCTTCTCTCCTCACTGCCGTGTAGTTGTTTCTCGCACCTTTGTTGCTGGTATGTTTGGGGGTTCGGCCTCTTCTTTTTTGTGTCTTTTGGTCTCTGGCCCTCTCACACGTTCTGTTGAACCAGTCCTATTTCCTAGTTCTGCATCTCTACTTTGGTATAAAAAAAATGTGCCTTTATCATTTATTTCACAAAACATAACATACATCTCATTTCCTTCCTTGCCTAACAGCAAGTCTTTCCAGTCAAATTCATTAAAGAAATTTCTAAGTTTCCTTATAATGTCCTCTCCTGAAATCAAGTTTTTAAACTGCTTCAACTTCCTCATTTTCTTCCAGATTATAACACATTGCTTTCTTTATTCCCAAAAAGACATGGTCACTCTTACGTTATTGAGGAAGGTACTAAATGTCAAATATCTCATCCTTTTACCTGGTGAATATCAAATCCAGCATGGAGGGAACATCCCCTTCCATCATTCTCGTAGCTTGTTTAACGTGTTGATACATGAATGTTTCCAGGATGAGGTTTACGAATCTACAGGTCCAAAAATCCTCTGTTCTAGGCTCATATGCCTC